TATTATGTAGCCGAGAACTACCTTGCTATCCACCCAATGAAAAACACTGATGTCCCTTACACTCGAGCTCCCGAACAATTAGGTCACTCATTTTTGCTGAGATCACAGCTGCAGTCAGCTCCATTCTTGGTATTGTGATTTGCTTCAACGGGGCTACACGAGCCTTTCCATAACAAAACTGCAATGAATCTCACCCCGCTCATTAGTCAGTCTCAAATAAGTACACTGGCCATAACCAATTTCACTGGCATCCGAGAAACTATGAAGTTCAACAGAGCTGATACGGCCAAAGTCTTCAGGTTTATAACAGCGAGGAATCTTCAGTCGCTCCAATTCTAGAATTTCATTGCGCCATTTTTCCCACTTACTTCGCAAATAATTAGGCACTGGGTCATCCCAGTCATATTTTTCTTTGCAGAGTTCTTGTAAAATCATTTTTCCTCTTAAAACAACTGGTGCTAAAAATCCCACAGGATCAAAATAGAGCTCACCGAAGAGAGGATGTTTCTTCTAGTAACGGAAGATCCTTTATTTCTATTTTGAACTGAAAATCGTCAGATTCAATACACCAGACAATACCCAAAGTCCTTTCAATTGGTAGAGGATCAACTGTGACGTCCAGAGTTTTAATATCCTTAGCTCTTTCATCTTCTGGTATGGATTCAAGCACTTCGCAGTTATTAGATATGAATTTATGCAATTTGAGGCCAGCACTGGCACAGAGTGCTCGACTCTGTTGAATTAAATCAACTGCTTCTTCAAATGTAGCCACAGACTTCAACCCATCATCCATATAGAAATCCTGTCGAATATAGTTAGCTGCCGCTTCTCCGTATTCGGCTTCTCCTTCATCAGCACATCGTTTTAAACCAAAGTTTGCACAACCTGGACTGCTGGCTGCTCCAAATGGATGACTTTTCATTCGAAATTCTACGATACTTCTGTTGAAGTTGCTATCTTCCCACCATAAGAACCGTAGGAGATTTCTGTCTTCTTCTTTTACATAAAACTGGTGGAACATGGACTTAATATCGCTTACTACTGCAATAGAATCTTGCCTGAATCTCCATAAAATTCCAACCAAATTTGACATTAAATTCGGACCCTGCAAAAGGTAGTCATTTAGTGAAACACCAGCGTAGACCGCAGAGCAATCAAATATAACTCTGATTTGATCAGTTTTCCTTTCATGGTAAATTCCAGAGTGAGGTATGTAGTTAACTTTACCATTGAGCAGCAACAATTCTTCATCTGGGACCCTGTCGGCACAATCTCGAAGTGTGTTTTCCATGAATTCAACATAGTCATTTTTAAATCTTTCATCTTTCAGCAGTCTCCTTTTAAGTTGGAGCAGTCTACGCAATGCTAGTGATCTATTATTTGGTAATGAAACTTCCCTAGACTTTAAAGGCAGAGGCATTTCGAAATGACCATCATTGGTTCTGACTATATTTTCTGATGAAATTTTCAAAAATCGAGAGTCATCAATGGAAAGCTCGCTGTATTTATTTTCACGCTCTGTGAATTCTAGCTCCGGCATTCGCTGTAGATGGTGAGGCTCAATAATTTCTTTTGTCTTTGTGAATAAAGCAAATCTGCATGTTACTTCAGGATAAATATCTACATCATGGTTGCTTACATCGGTATCAATCAGATGAGAAACAGCTGGTTTGAGTGAAGACCTCCGCACTGCTCCAACAATTCCCCAGCCCAGAATTGACCTTTGAGCATATGGCTGGTCATCATGGCCAGCAATTATTTCTCTAGGTCTCAGTACACTAGGAATGTTGTTCCCAAGCAATAATCCAACTGGAACGATTGGATGATATGGTGGAATTAGATCAGCAATTTTTTCTAAATGAGGCCATGCCCTTGCCTTATCTGGTGTGGGTATTTGTGATCGTCTAATTGGAATTTCTTCTCGAGTGTACACCGGTGGCAATCCTATACACACTTTACGATCATAGCTGAGCACTTCCAAACATGATACTTTTCTAGTTGCAATGGCCACATTGCTTTTAAACATTGTTGATAGAGTTATGCTGGTTTCGTGTCCCTTGACACCAAGTTCTTCCTGGACCTGATGACTGATGAAGCCTGTATTAGATTGCTCATCTAGAATGCAATAAGACAAAACTTCCTTACTATGATCACCTTTATCTCTGATCCACACTGGAAGTATCATAGATAAGTCACATTCGATGTCAAGCAATTGGTCAATCTTGTTACTGGTCGTAGTGCATAAAGATGTGGTCTGCTCTGACGTCTTTTGTTTTTCTGCTTGATGAAAACAAGTCATATGAGTTTTCTGGCATATTTTGCACTTCACCTTATCTTTACAATTTCGTGCAAAATGACCGCTTTCTGAGCCACACGCAAAACAAAGATTGTTGCTTAGAATGAATTGTTTCTTGTCCATCCTTGATAAACTAATGAACTTCTCACAATCTTGGAGAAAATGATCCTTATTACAAAATTTACATTGTGATTTACACTCTTCTTTTGTTGAAGTGGATAGCACCACAACCTTGGATCTTCTGTTTGACATATCGGCTTTGTGATATGATGCTCTAGATTCTTTTTTGAGATCACTCAATTCTGGAATGTTGGCATTCTCTGCTTGATCGTACACAAATCTTACAAGAACATCAAAAGATGGATAAGCATTTTCATTTTTCTTTTCTTGTTTATACCTTCTAACTTCAATTCTCCACAAGTTTATAACGTCATATGGCAACTTTGCCACAATATTCGTATTTTCTTGGGAGTAATCCAGAATACCCAAACACTGAAACCGCCTTTTTGCAGCCAGAAGTTGATTTAGGAAGTCAGAAAACCTTCTTATGCTAATTGGGTCATGTGGTGCTATATTGGGCCATTCTTTCAATTTAGTAGCAAACGCTTTACTTATCAAATTTGAATTCCCATACCTTCGCTTCAGCTCCTCCTTTGCCATTACATATGCATCTTCGGTCTGAAGTAACAAATAACCTTGCACAAGTTCTTTCGGCTCACCGCTCAAATATTGGTTGAGCAAATTCAACTTTTGTTCTACACATGCCGCTTTGTTATCAACTAAACCATTGAATGCAGTCTCCCATGATGGATATTTAATAATTTCCCCAGTGAATACTTCAATTTTGATTTCTGGAAGTCTATATTGAGCTCCTCCTCTATCGGCTGATCTATCACATGTTGTCTTAATTTCACTGGAAAAGGGGTGATTGTTGACAATGTTTTGACCATTGAGCTGACTTAGTAAGTTATCACCTTGTCTCACAGTAGAATACAGGCTTTGTGGAGATGGTAAATTGCTCATTGGTGCATACCCATATGAAAATGGAACACTTTGCATGGCATTTTGTGTGTAACATTGACCGTCGATTGGAAGGTGCTGCACGACAGAATTTACAAATTGTGGATGTGATGAGCAAATTATGGTTGATGGTGTTTGCAAATGTCTTGTTGAACCAGAAACAGAATAAACATAACTAGCTGATGTTGGTAAAGATGGCTCTCCGTGACATATTGGCAACTTGGAAGCCCCATCTAATTTCCGTTCGGTTAATTTCAAAGACTTGGTACTCTCTAATTGTGATAGAGATGGCTCTCCATGGCATATTGGCAACTTAGATGTCTCACCTAAATTTTGATTGGTTAATTTCAACTGCTTGGTACCTTCCAGTTGTAATAGCAATGGCTCTCCATGGCAACTTGACGACTCTGGAACCTTACCAGAGTCCTGACTGGCTATAGCCGAGAGCTCATTACTTTCCAGTTGAAGTTTCACTTCTTCTTCATCAAGAACAGATAGGCAGGCTTCATTTACTTCAATTTCTCTTCGAAGCTTAAGATTGCTCATTGATGACTGGAACTCCTTCATTAGTCTATCCTCCTCTTGCTGATACTTTTGCTTTACTTTCAGGTCAGCAAGATTTGTTTTATATTTCAGTCTAAGTGAAACAAGGCTGGAGTTGCTTTGTTGAGAAATTGAACTTTTTTCTGTTTTGTGACTGCAATTAGAGCAAGCAGAACCAGCAATTGAAAGTGCATCATCTTCACCTTTCATCTCATCAGTTAAATGCTGAACTTGTTTGGAAAGGCACCTTAAATCCACATTGGGTATATCGCTCATTGTTTCTTCTATTTCTTTTGACATACCGGTACCACTCAGAGATGCAAGCAACTCGGAATTGACATAATTTGGATTGTCAGCTGTTGGTGTGAACTTTGATATTCCTTCTTCTCGGTTGTCTTGACTTGCCATTATTCTGTTGACTGTTATTGTTGTTAATTCTGTAAATATTCCTGATGACTCGAATCTGACAGTTCAGCAGACCTATTGTCAGTTACTGTGGCTGCAGGCATTCGATCCCTTCCTTAGTCTGTTGATGGAATGCTAGCAGACGAATCTAATAACAATTCAATGCAGCTTGACTCGTGTTTCAATATTTTAATAGCATGAAAATCCAGCTTCCACAGGACAAAGTCCAGAAATAATGCAGTAATGTCATCAAACATGAAATATTGTGTTCCGGTTAAATGCTAATTGATAATTATAATGTTGAAACTGCGGTAACTGACATTGAATTCGGTGCTTCTCTGGCAGATTATTATAACAAACTGTGTAAACAAGAACATAACAATCAATTACCTTTTCGTCAAAACAATATGCAACTGAACTCAATACCAGTACCGGTACATATCCTAAGCTCATATTTATACATGCAGATTCAAACAACAAAATCTGACACTAGAATAATATTAATACAGCCATACACGTCTGAACTATACAGGGACAGCACTAACTCGTGTTACAGGCCAGAGACAGGAAATGACATGATTTCCAGAACATTCTAACTAAACTAAACATTCTAACTATGACGTCATACAATCTCGCCTGTCAATCATTAAAGACACTGCTGCAAACCGCTGCAGTAACACATATTATACCATAGTTTACTGAATATTAACTATGATTATACATTATATCTTTTGACAACCACGATCTCTTCAGTTTAGATTAGAATTTGACTCCGCGCAACACGATCGTTTTTATTGCGTTTTCGCGGCGTTTTGTTGAACGATTCGAGGACGTTCCACATGTGATTTCTTCCAGAGAGTTCAGGTCAGTTTTTGTTCTGTAAGCTTCCTGAAGTCACCAGTAAACTATTTCTCGAGTAAGTTATGAGAATAACTAATGAGCTAAGCATTATTTTTTTTTTCGGTTACCATATAGGCTAATTTATCTCAAGCTTCTCTCTTTTTTCTAATTTTATTAATGCCCTACAGCCCTATGGCAGCCATACTGCCATAACTTTTAAAGTTTTTTTACAGCATTACTGGCTCCCTACATTGCGAATGCTTTGCACACGACTCTGCAATTGTACTGATCTGAAGCATTCAGACATTTATGTACGGGTCTTGTGTACTTTCGTTCCTATCGTACTTCTAGTGGGCATGGCATAGCAATTTTTTGATATGTCAATCCTAACCCCTATCTGACTACGCCATCCAAAAATAACGTTACTACAACATCACAATCACGTCATAGAGCTTGCCAAATATACGTACAATCGCCCGAAATGGCATTATCGATCTCTCTCCTATCAGAATCGCTAGGACGAGAAAACGAGAGAAATAACTGTTCGATTTCGGGTGCTCGTTTTCGCGTCTTGGTTGGCAGTTCGTACAGTCCGAAGGCTTTAATTACGTCACTGTGACGTCGTGTTGACGTCATTTTTGGATGGTGTAGTCAGGTGGGGGTTAGGATTGATACGTGAAAAAAATTGTCATGCTACGCCCACTAGAAGTATGTTAGGTACGAAACTACATGAGACCCTTTATGTACTTACTCTATTTTTTTCAGATGAAGCTGGTCCCTGAGGAAAAGCTTTAACGGATATGCATCTGCCAAATGAAGACTCGTTTAGCGCCGACTTGGGATCTATTTTTACCTCCACTGCAAAATCAAATTTGAAAAGTCAGGATTTTAATTATACTCTTTGTCCAAGTTGTTTGCAAGATGGAAAAGAGTCTGTTCTCGCTGATTTTCAAATCAACTTTGAAGAAGCAATACGTCTATGCCCTGTTGCAACATGCCCTTATCCACTAAAAGAAGACAATGTTGTTGAGTCTTTTGTTTTCAAGCGAGATGCTTCTGTTCTTCCTGTAGCAAGTGAACAGAATCTTCCTGCATCGAGTAGAAAGTCTCGAAAATCTAGTGGTTATTCTACATTTTTCGAAGAATTTGACTTGGATACACTACTTGATTTTTCTACACCAACATTTCAAAATCAATCTATGCAAATAGTTAATGATGTTAAAAAAGATATTATTATCAATAAAATTGAGTCTGACATCAAAAATGATGCCATCGAAATGGATATTAATCCACATGAGAACTTTCCAATCAATGCTCCAGACATGCAAGCTGATGTCGAAAATACTTGCGACAATAATACAAAATTAACATCCAATAATAATGTTATTTCTGTTCCTGGTTCAACTGAAATAGGGGAAAGTGACATCCAATTTGACAATGAATTTGATCCTGTCATGGATATTGATACTGTCACAGGGACCAGTGATGATGATTCAGTTGAGGTAATGATTTATTCTAGTCAAACAAATACTGAATATACTGTGAAACCTGAAGATGAAGAAGAGCAATTGGATATTGTTGAAAAACTTTCTCGTCCACCTGTCCATGGTGAACTGTTACAATGGATTAATGAACAAAACTCTTGTTGGCTTGATGCTATTTTGCAAATATTAGTGAGCAGTGTAAACACCAGAGCATCTTTGAACTTATCAAAGTCTGCTGATAAGTCTGTACTCAAAAGGATAATTATGACTTATGATGTATGCCAGCAAGCTTATCAAATACATCAAACGAACAATGGGAATAATGATGACGCTGTAGTCATATCATTATGTCAAAAATTGGGTCGTGTAAGGCAGGATTTATTAGAACTATTAAAACGAAATACTTCATTCGAAATTGGTGAGTTTCAGAGTTTGTTTGAAATGCTACCATTGGTGCTAAAAACCAGTGAGGCAACAGCAGACTTATTTAAAGTCAATATGATATGGGAATTTCAATGTGAAAATTGTGGACATAGGCGGGCAAGAAGGTCACATAATCATATATTATCATTTCCTAAAGTTTGCTCCGATTTCCATCCACTGAATGCAAGGTTTCAACGCAATTGTTTCGAATGCAACTCTCCTTCAGGAGAAACATCCATATTAATGGAACATTTGCCTGCGTGCCTAGCATTTCATTTTCAAAAAGGACTGCCCCACTCAAATTTACGTGTGCTAGACTTTGCTATACAAGGTTATTTATACTGTGTTTTTGCTATTGTGCGCTATGTTTTGTCACCATTTAAGCATTTTATTACTTGGATTAGAGATATTAAAGCTAACAAATGGCTTTGCTTCGATGATTTAAAAAGTCCTTCATGTAAATGGCAAAGCAGACAACCAAAAATACCTGCTGGTGAGATCCATATGGTTTTTTGGGAAAGACAATCTGTGACGGATCCATTAAATACAGATAAAAGCCAACTGTCTACAGTGGTAAATGAGGAAACTGTTGCTATCGCAGATGAAATGCCAATAGAAATTTTTTTTGCACATGAAGATGATGAAACTATAGTTGTTCCAGAGTATGATAATTCGAATTCACCGATAACAACCACAAATCATTGTCACAATACGGTAATTGAAAAATGTAATAACACTGTTCAATCAACATCAGCAGAGCCGATGTCACGTTCCGCACAACAGCATCATATGGGAAATATGTTTGGTGGCAAACCGCAAATGATCTACCCTCATCCAGTAAATGAAACACCATTGCAATTCCATCCACAAATATTGCCTAATGGTGGTATATCTGTAGTGCCTGATAAATCACAACAGATGATTCAAGTCATAGCACCAGCTAACACTTGCAGCATTTATATTGTGACAGATGGCTGCAAAAATCATCAAATGCTTCACCAAGGTACACCCAGACCAGTTGTAAGCAATGCTATTGCAAAAAGACACAGTGTCAAGTCATTTGTGGATAATTCTCATTCGTATGGTATGGTATCAAGAACATATTCCTCCACAAAGAAGTTTTCATCTTATCCTCAGAAACGTCAATATCGTCTATCGGGGTATTCCTCATTTAAAGAAAAACACAGATTTTCACCAATGAAGCCAACATTATCAAAAACAACGCAGCTGACTAAAGAATATCTAACTGCAAGTCATCCTCAATGTCCAGAAAAGGAACCAAATGATGAAAAATTATCAGAAGTGTCTGATCTGTCAGATTTGCTTCCGGATTTTGATCTGGACAGTAACCATAGCATCAATAGCTATTCTTCTGCCCCAGCTGCTTTGAGATGCTCCACTGTAACACCTCCTTTGTCATTAGCCGACAGTAACTCAACCCCCACCAATAGTCCGTCAGGAATGAATGGATGACCATTTTGATCTAGATTGAAATCCACTGCTAATATTTCATTCGTATTTTTTCTAGTGGGTATGGCATGACAATAATATTGTTTAAACTGCTGCTGTATTGCCCACATTATATAAATTAAAATGCATTATGTGCTATAATATTTGCAATTTTTGGAACCTAGTTTTTGTAATATTTTCATCTTGAACATTGGTCTCTGTTTGTTCTGATGATATTCTATAATATACTATGGTTTAGCGGGAGAATGATAAGATAAGTGATGTAGGCAAAAGTGACTGCAACAAAGACCGATTTCCATGGTTGAACTTCCAAGTTGTTGTTGACTTTGATTCACCCTTGGGTAAGCTTGAATTACAATCTTTTTAACAGTTCTATTTGTCAGGAAAGGTTAAAAAAGCTATATGGGTTACTGACAAATGGGGCAGCAAGCCCACTCTATTCCCCTCTAGGTTCAAACAGCCGCAGGGTGGCCGGCACAGGATCTGTGTTTCTTGTGACCAAAAGTGGTGTTTCTGCTACTCTGTGAAGTTCTTCAATTACTTGTCAAATGTCTCTAACTCTGCTGACTACCAGAGATGTATTGGGTAATATAATAAAAGATTCAGGTGGAGTACGATATATAACGCCTATTAATGCTGTATTGGAAATTCACTCGATTTTCGCACCAGTGGGTGTAGTGGTGCAGATATAAAATCGAAAGTGCAATATCTGCTATTTTGTTTTTGTGCATATGGCAGATGTAAGTTTTAGTGGATCGTTAATGTTCGTAGATTCTAGAACGTTTCATTGAAAACTCATTTCTCCACAGACGTCGCGTGCTTTGGTGTTTGTACCTATCTATGATATCGCTTTTAGGTGCTTTCTGCCTTTAGCCTTGAAATATCTTTTCGGTTTTTTGACAAGCAAGGATTCTTGAGCTAAATATTCATAATCTACCGTACTAATAAAATTAATAAACCAAGTTTTATGGATAAATTGAATATTGGCAGTAAATTGTACATAAATGAATGCAAAATCAAAACGTGTTTGAATATCACTAGGTGATAAATTTGCGAAAAGAAATACTTAATTGCAGGAAATTATCATCATAAAATAATTGGCAAAAGCTTTTATCCACATTTCAATGCAGTGTGAGAACCTAATGACTTGAACTACAAACGTATTTGAGGCATATTATCATCTTTTGGATTTTCAAAATTTCTATTTTTTTATCCGTTTTCCGCTTTTTCATCCCCACAACTAATGAAAGAAAAAAAATCTGCTCTCCCTGTCGCGGCACTATTGTGACAAAAAGATTGCTATTTCCACACGGGGGATTGGTATGGTATCTAGGGTTGAACCATAATGTTCATTTGGACCTCCTGAAGTATGCGCACCAAGATGGTGCACAACCTGAACTCAAGTTGTGTACCAGGTTAGGGTTCAGGTTGTGCGACATCTTGGTACGCATACTACAGGAGTATCGTTCATTTTCTATTACCTAGCACGAACATAGTTTCCCCGTTATTAAGTTAGGATTGGGTTCCGAAATTGCACATATCTATCCCCGCTTGCGATGCGAACCCACGCAGGATAATCAGAGGTGCGTTGGCGATGGCATTCCCCAAGCTTAGCACGATGCGCCACACCGTCGAGCCAGTTATTTTCAATTTCAACAACTGAGTATGAAAAGAATCTCCAGAATAGTGCAGCTAGATTGTAAAAGCCGAATTGCGCAAGATTTGAAACTACAGCCAAATAATTTCGTTTGGACCGTTTATTCATGACGCCAACGATTACCACGGTCCGAATGCTTTTTTTTTAAATAGCGGATTACTTTGTGATATCTTCATGTAGAAACTTGCACATTTTAGATGTATATGTTTGTATTGTTCTCTGATTTGAAGGTCGGATAATCTCTTTTTGAACCCACGACCGTTTCGCCGTGCCTTTCTGGAACTGGCTCTCTTCACGTCCTGAAAAGGCTAATTTGTAATTTGGAGTTTTCACACTAGGCGAGATCACGAGACGGATCAAAAAATGAAAATGGCTGTGGATCCGCTTTTTTCGTACCATCGAGATCAGTCGAACACAGCTACCCCTTACCTCAACTGAGCTCTTCATAAAATGCGGAACTAAATGCAATCCTACAATCGCTGAAATGGGTCAACGATCAATGCAATGCATACGAAACCGTTATTTTATCAGATTGCCAAAGTGCATTATAATCTATTGAAGCCTGCACGGATTCCTCTAATGAATTCGTCGTTGACATCAAATCTTCATATTTCCAAACTATCGCTATGGGGAAACGAGTCACCTTTTTATGGATCCCCGGGCATAAGGACAATCCGGGAAACGAACGTGTTGATTTACTAGCAAAGCAAGCTACCATTTCTCCAAACTCTGCTGCTTGTATGGACATTGAAGAAAATGAAGCTAAATCTTTGTTGTCTGATGTTTGTCATCGCAAATGGGATACCGAATATATACAAAGTGAGGATACAAACCATTTTAAGATGTTTCACCCAGAACTACCCATAATTCAATATTCAAACTTACAACGGAAGTACGAAATAATGCTCATTAGTTTACAGACGGGACATTGTCGATTAAATAGCCATTTACAAAAACTGGGATGTCATCAAGACGGACTATGCTCTTTTTGTCACGTGAAAGAAACCGTTGCTCATTTAATTCTGTTCTGCAGACGTTTCAACAATCAACGATCCAATTTACTAAAATTATGTGCCGAATATGATGTACCATTTCGGCTTCAATATTTACTAACAGATTGTAACATTTTATTTCATGTGCTAAAATTTGTCGAATCTACTGGTAGACCCATTTAATAGCAACAAAGAAATTATTTTAAATAATTTCCCCTAGATAAATAAATAGCCTATCACGACCTGATGCAAAAAGCTTTGATTGAGCTGTAAGCACCATATGACCCCTATCACACACACACTAGGCGAGGAAGCCGCGTTCGCGCGGTGATAATGTTCAATGTAGCACGTTGAAAATCACCAAACTTTTAGGAGACACAGTAATAAATATAATAAGGCACCGCTCCCGATAAAACTACGTTCTGGTGGGGAGGTATAATAACTATTAAATTTCAAGCACCGTTAATTCAAAATAGCGATAATGGTTTGGCGGCGTTTCCGTGGCAGGAGCCATAACTCGCCTAAGGTAATTTGGTAGAGTGACTAACACGTGTCCCACCTTCGAAACTCTTGAATGAGATTTATACAGGTATAACAATATTATTAGAAAATTGTACATAATAGGGGAGCACGATCCATTTACCACCTTTCATTTGGAAATCCCAGCCGTGGGCGTCGCTGCTTTCTTGATGATCAGCTTGTGTACCTTATTTCGGTAACTTTGGCACCGCTTAAAAGATATAAACTTTAATTGACAAGTTTTTGGGAGAGCAATTCCACTCCATAATATAACCTACACTACCTCCCAATACGACCATTTCTACAGACACTATCCTGAAGTATAGGTATATTTTAATATTGTATTTTTCATAATTGATTGAATCCTGAAAGCATTTTTTAGATTGTAGCTTTCAAACTTAAGAAAATCAAACAGTCGTGAGAGAATTTCTATAGCTGATTAAACCTATTCAGGTACAATATTCTTCACAAGAGAATGTGTAAATATGTAACCCAAGTGATAGATTAAACATAGGGAATTTAATAACAAATGTGGCAAAGGCATTGCATTTCTGTCCATAATTTTCACTAATATTTTGAAACGTTTTCAAATTCAGAACCTTTCTGAATGCCATATTTTCAGCAATTACATAAATTGTACTCCAATCTCTAAGTATAAATGAATTAATGTCTTCGCACCATAATTTACATATTACATGCATGGAGAGATTTAAAATTAGTAGGGGACTTTCGACAGTAGCAATGTGTAGTACACCAAAGTAACTGGTTAGGAAGCTGGGTAAGTGGCAGCATATGTACTCATGAGATCCCAGTCATATTTCATCCCTTTACAATGGTATTTATTACACACACACATAACGTTATGGTAATTGCGATTTCTACTCATCTCCACTCTACCCCAGGTTAAGTGGGGTGATCAATTTCAAATCTACTCCAGAACAAAATCTTCCTCAGAATCCTCGAGCCATTCACATGAATAACTTAACTATTCACAAAATATGAATTAAAACCTATTTAAATTTTTTTGTTCGAATGACATTTTTTCAATAAATGATTATTAAACAACATTATCAGAAAATATGGTTGCTGAAGTATTGAATTTCTAAAGAGACCGTCTCCGTATGTCCATCATATTTGATCTGCATGTTCAAATATATGCATCAGTTGTTATCTCAGTAAAACCGGAGTGTTGGCATAATAACCGCAATCGGAATTATAAGGTCTTTCAATAATATTCACAGAGTAGTTCACTTTTCGACCTCTTCATTGCCATTAACTTCATCAGTTCCAGGAGGAGCATCAGAGTCTTTATCTTTGTGCTTATGCTTTTTTGCCTTTTTATGTTTGCTTGAATGCCTGTCATCATCTTCATGCTTTCTGCGCGATGATTTATGTCGGGATGGGCTGTCGTCTCGATATCTTCTTGAACTGCTGCTCTCTCTTTCATGCCCTCTATCGCGGTCACGATCTTTATCTCGGTCTCTGTCTTTATCACGATCTCTATCCTTTTCTCGGTCACGATCACGATCTCTTTCCCTATCGCGGTCACGATCTCTGTCTCGATCACGATCTCTATCCCGAGGTCTGCTATCTCTGTAATCCCTTCTATCTCTATATCTATCACGGTCGTAATCTCTTCTGGAACTACTTCCCCGCTCTCTCCTGTATCGGCCATCATCTTCACTATGTCGATCTGTTTCACTATCCGAGGGTCTCCTATGCCGATCTTCTGAGTATTGATTGTAAGGATCGCCACCATCTGTTGACCAAATAAAGAGGGGCACAGTGTGTGTGACTGGGGGTGAACCCTGGCGGATATCCAGGGCTGCCTGATTGTAAATAATCTGGCGGTGGACCAACGCCTGTGGAGGATTCCAGGCGGAGGAACATTAGACATCATAAACGGTGGAGGGACACCAATAGGCCATACTGGTGTGGTTGATTGGGATTTATGGGTGGGAATGGCAAAGGGGCATTGGGCAAAGTCCCGGCGATTGGCTGCCTTCACTCTGAGACACAAAAATACTTGAGTTGCAGAACTTGGAGGAATTGACGATGGGACAGGTGTGGCATTTGTGACTATTTTGACAGCTGTGCAGCTGCGGCTGCCGCAGAGGCCGCTACAGCTCATCTTCTTTCCTTCTACTAAATTGCAAAGTTGATATGTTTCTGACAGTATTTTCAAATTTGGCCAAAGAACATATGGTGGGGTGCTAAAACAAACTTGTGTACCATTCTGGATAGGTTTGGTAAAGGCAGTGATATAAACGGCATGTTATCTAATTGTCCTCGAAATTTCTTTGTTTATCGAAGTTATTGCTTCCAGGTATCTCATTAAACCCGTATTGAAATAATCAGAAATGTCAGCTCCTGGCTTGCGCCATGGTTTGTCATCAAGCAAGTCTATATTTGTCTCCATAACTGGAAGTACCGTTGAATCACCTGGAGCCTGCATATCCAAGCCTTTTGTCACTGTAGGTTTTGTAGGTACAGGAACTGGATTTCTATAGAAAAGTTCTACTCAGTCCTTGGGCTGGAAAATTCCCAGGTGTTCCAACCAGTTGTGATTTCTCCAATCGTAACTTGTACATCATCATCTGAATCTTCGTCGTCATCCTCATTTTTAGCGGCAAATTTCTTTAGCAGGTAGAGCTTGATTGTCAAGCTTAAATTACCGGCGCCTTTCCATTTTCAATGACAGGTGCCTCTAAGCAGGAGCCGGCTCATGATCCATTTTCTTTCTTGGACTTCATTTTCAATTTTTGATAATGGTTTTCATTTACATTTGTATTTCCTGAATCAGTTGGTTCTGATTTTTCTTTAGTAGAATCACCGTACAACCATGAATCTTCATCTTCTACATCAGCCATCTTGGTTGCGATGACAATTTAGTTTGATTATATCATGGAGGTGTTTCCTAGAAAAAACAAATAATCAAGAAATGATATCATCAGGTGAAAACAATTGACCATAACAAATGGAGGTTGCAATAAATAATATATACCGGTATACAATATTGTCAGAAAAATTGTGAATCATGCGCAACTTCAATATTGAATCATAAAATTAATGGAAGCATGCAAGCTGGAATTGAAGCAAATGTGAAAAGGGTATTTTATCGAAGTTTTTACATATTTATGGGGCATATCTTATGTATTTATACGATTACTAAGGTCATATTATTCTATTTCTGATAAGGGATTCACTGCACAAATAGTCTGACATTGTTTTCAATCTCATCAGTATGTCGTCATATTCTGTTTTCGACTTCGGATAATGTTAGTCTTGTTGATCTACCCTAATATATTTGCTTGGTATCAATAGGTACATTTGTGTCACTTGCTCCATAATGAACAATATTTGTTCATTATGGAGTTTGTGTCAATGAAACATAGAAAACATTTCCTGAACATTGCAATTAAGGTAAGGTAAGCTTAGTTGCGAGAATTATTCAAATTTAGGTAAAAACTATACCTCTGGATTGCGAAATGACAAATCAAGAAAAATTCTAGAATACATAACATTAATCCAATGAATGGCCTCCAACTGAAACAAGTTATGAATAGATTGAAGCAATAAGGTATTTTAGACAAATAGTAAAAATAGCCCATAGGTTAGAATGGTATGAATCTTTATGTATGATGCCTTTCTTTATCAATATTTTCGGGATCTGTAAACTGTAATGTCAAAAAATAAAATATAAGTGGGAATGGTGCCAGTACCACAAAACAATAATTTTCATTAGAAATGGCAATAATACCAATGTTAAAGCGACATATGCCATAAAATGATCAAATATTTTGACTTTATGTCGTAATGATGAACTAAGAGTTGTGACATTGGTCCACACAAAGTACGTTGCTATAGCGACCAGGGATACAAGCAGTGTTATGTAGGGAAATGAATAATAAATTAGCCCCCAATAAAAGCATGAATTACAACTAAGATGGGATGAAAATACAATGCTGCATAAAGGGGGCCACTCCATTCCTTCGCAGCAGCTATAAAAGATAGTATAAAAGGTCGGAATAGTAGCATCAATATGAGTGTATATGCATAATAGATACAAACTATTGTCATTAATGGATACACTGCTTCTTGAGAGCAATGAATGGGTCTGAGTATATTCAATCTGTGGGTTAATAAAACATTGTATACCAGTTCTGATAACTGATTTACACCACAAGATACCAAGTTGTAAATCACCTTTCGGCTCACTAGAAATAAGTGATAATAAGGCAAGCACAAACACATTCGAAAATTGATAAAAGTATCTGTGCTTACCATTAGTTTCAAAGATTTCTGGTTTCTTAATATATAAATCCAATGAAGCATACAAGGTAATTACAGCCATAAATCCAAGATAAAGCCAGTCATAGATATCAGGAGGTTTGTCACACTGAATACAATACTTTGTTTCGTTTGCTTTATATCCCCATGGACAAGCACCACACTTGTCTAGTTGCCACGTATCAGGTAATTCATCATCAGGTGGAAACCACAGTATCTTCCAATGCACGATGGAATTTCATAGCTTCAGCCATTGGTTACTCCAGACTGATGCTTTCATTAGATTTTGAATGTTTTACTATATTATATTATCTAAGAAAACAATATCATAATAATAAGTATTATTGAACCACAAAAATGCACGACAATCCAAAAACGATGAATATTTTGAAACAGACAAATTCACTGTAAAATGAAGTTGAATGAAATTTATCTTGTTATTATGAACTGAAAAATATTTTATTTATATTTCCTATTTTAAATCAAACACATAGTATTGAATAATTGAACGATTTTATAAGTTTAAACATCATTTTCATAGTCTTTAAGATCTTTCTTTTCAGGTTCGCATTTGTTGTCTCTCATACTGATACACCATATATCCGATAACCATCGGAATGGTGAAGTATAGAAATTTTCTCTTTTCTCCTTGCAACGTTCACTAGGCCATTCTGAAAGTAACCTTTCAAAGGTGGTTGCTCAAAAGGTGACAGCTGATACTGGATTTGTGATGTCATCTTCACTCCAAGAGTGCCAAATCCTTTTCCCATTTTCCATCAGTAAGCTTCATGTTGCAATTTTCTTGGGAGTTTTTTTGTTAGAAAATTTAATTAACAAACTAGATTCATGAATAAAAACATATAATATAAATTAGAGCTTAGACAAAATGCAATTTATTTCATAACACTATTTCAATCAGCCTTCCACTGATGTTGCCCATGGCCATGATACTAAATATACAAGAGCATTGAATTGAAGAAAAATAGCTTTTTGGAGGATGGAAGAATTGAAAACTTGTTAGAAAAGTCGGTTATGTCATAGCTTTTGATAGTACATTTTTAAGATTGACTAGTATTGATAATATTGACTGTTTTTATAAATAAAAAAAAAAATAAAAAAAAATTGAAGCATAAAATTGTTAATTTCAAGGTTTTGAATGGTTATTTCTACTAAATTACTTCTATGAATCTGTGCACAAAATAAATTAATATGAAAATTGTATTACCAAAAAACTGAAATGAATTTGTAAAAAGTCGAACCAGAAAAAACACGTTTAAGTTATTTTTTAAGAAAACAAATTGAGAAAAAATCAAGTTAAATATAATCTGCTGAAATCAAGTCTCCAATATCTGCTTGAAAAAGTAATGATAAAGCATTTGCGAAACTTTGAATATTACAAAATGAAACATTGCCTTATCGTGCAGCCATTGCATGCAATTTCTGTCACAATAATCTACTACAAATATCAGAAGCCTTTTCTTTATTGCACTCTGCTTTGGCAATACGAGATCCAAACTGAATGGCCCTTTTTGGAAAAACAGCAACATTCCTTAGGCCAAGATTATAAGCCGTAGCCCTAAGAAGAAGTTTTTCTCCTAACCCTCTCTTATAATTCAAATTGGTTTTAGAAGAGAGTGGGATTTTATTTAAAAACGATATAACATTTTCATCTAAATATGGAAACCTTGCTTCAGTTCCATGATCTGCAATAATTCTGTTATCACGACCAAGGTTTCGTGATGATATTCTTTCCAGTTCCATCATAATTTCATTGCCAAGTCCTTCCCACCCACGATTTTCGAATGCTGATCGATGACGGGAATATCCTCCAAGCTGTTCATCAGCTCCCATACCACATAGAACTACTTTTGGTTTGCACTCAGGGTGTATTGTCCCACCATATGCCGCAAACCATAAAGCACAACCAATACTATCATCAAGAACAGTTGTTAACGGATATGTTAAATCAGCAATTCTTTTTATTCTAGTTTCTCTTAATTCGTCTAATTCTATGTTTATTTCAACAAAATTCCAAACTCTATTCGGGCATAATTTTGATAATTCCTCATAGGACATCCTACCAGTAGACCTGTCTGGGACATCAAAATTTTTATTTTTTAGTGTTTCAAAAGCAACATTAAGTAAATTTATCGGTTCCGAAATGGGAACATATTCATTAGCCAGCAAAGCTAAAACGCTACAATCTATTCCACCAGAAAAAAGAATACTTATTGATGAATGTGAGTTCGAATATTTTGGCAGATTTGATACACGTCTTTGTACCGACTTTTTGAGTACATTTGTAAAAAGATCCACTAATGGCCAAACATTTTGGGATTCACAAATAGCAACCAAAGCATCTAAGTCTGACATTTTATCTACTATTTGGCTTTTGACAACTTTCTCGAAAGAAGAATTGAATGTTTCTATGTTCAGGTCTATTGCAATATGGTCATTCTTTGCAGATCCATTTGAGTCCATTATTTTATTTGTGTAACCAGTGTCATATTGCTTCATAACATCTACTTTGAGGCAGTGTGGGTTTGTAATTGATTTCCAAAAATGACATTTTATCTCCCTATAACATTTTTGCAATTGTGTGTCGATGACATAGATTCCATCAGCCTGAATTTCTTTCCATGACACATTTGAATTGATGTTTGTTGAATGTTTCGCAACTGATGCTAATATAAAGTCATCGTCACCTTCCTGATATAAAAGACTATGGCGACCAAAATAATCTCTCCCAAAATACAATCTTTTTGTTGAATTTTGAAAAAATACGAAGGCATAAGGTCCGTGTAATAAACTAAAAACTTTGCATATTTCAGCATCATTTGCGCATTCACTCAGGCAATTAGCAAGAATGACTGTGTCACAAAAACCATCCTTTACTTCTAATCCACCAAAGACGTCACCATTCCATTGCAAAAAGTCTCCATTTGCAGTAACATAAGGCTGTTGAGTCGCAACATTTCCTTGTAAATGCAGAACAGTAGAAATCATGTGTAAATAAAAGCCATTGCCGATAATTGTTGATTTGGTCCCAGTAGCATCCGGACCTCGACGCTTAATGAGAGGTAGAATATCATCTAGAATATGTTGTGGCACATTTTCAGACTTACTTATTATTGCTATTATACCGCACATAATTATAATTGCCTACAGATGCATAGTTTTACCAGCTGTCCGTGTAAGAATATTGAATACCAATTCATTCAGGTTAAAAGCTGAGACATAAGAAAGCACTCGATAATTGACATGTTCAATGACACAATCCAAATTAGTAGCCTTTGCACTATCTGCTTTTGTGAGAGGGAAACTGAGTTCACTGAGAGCATGTAACAGTGAATTGATATAGTTTTATAAAATGATAGTACAGTAGTAACAGTAATAAACTATATAGTATCAATCAATTTTAATTTGGTCACTCTGGAAGAATTAAAACAACAACAAATGGACAAACAAAATGCAGAAGACCTGGAGGAACGGGCATAACTTAATTAAAAAGTTGAAAACGTACAAGTAGGCCTACGTGCTCGTCCACCAAAAACAGTAAAAAGAACCATTCAAATTCGATTAAAACTTTTGAATTAACAAATTGGCATAGATCAATTATTCCATAAATATCATTGAATCCCATCAAAAATAAACGTTAAAATGAAGTCTTTCGCTATTTTTAAATGTATGAACAAATGTATTTACATACGTAAGAATGTTATATTACTTAATTGAGATTATACTCCGTTATTTGGAATCCACATATATCAGTATATATTTACCCTCAAAAATGTACTGCATTATTTGTCTATGAAATATTTTGCACTTTTAAAATCAACCTCCCAACAATTCAGACCTGTGGATAGTAGCCTATTAGACTATGTACGCTACCATATTGTACAGTACCGGTATACTATTACTATATTATATAGTATATTTACCAAAATATTTTATCACAATATTAACAGTTGACATTGTATTTCTCAAACGTTACCGTACAGTAACGTTTTTAAAAGACACAAAGATAATATCCTACGCTAGGTAGCAAAACACTTGAGTGATACGATATTACTGTATTATCAACATTAACATACGGCCATACGTACAACAGATACGTTACAAAGAAAATGATTTTCTATAACTAGTCTGACAATGTTTTAATACGGCGCCATATGAGTTATTATTTAAGATAATGTTCTTTTAATATGAATATTACCAAAATGAAAAAGAATCGAGAATAAATTGAAAACACGCGACTTTTCTCGCCCGAATGTCCTACAGGAGATAAAACGCCAAGGTGGTATGTCGTATTTCAACCCTTGCCTGACACCCCGTGATGTCGACTATCTTATCCAACTACTGTACCAGCATTATCGGTTGCGCATTGGTTGCGATATAGTCTAATACCAAATAATTGAGAAGTAAAGTAAATACGTAAAATGAAGGTTAAAAATAGAATAATTACAATTTAGTCGAATACCGGGTATATATTTATAAAATTTAGTCGTTAGAGGTCGCTTCTCGAAGATGAAGTCCCCGAAGTCAAATGTCCACGGTTTCCACTTGTCAGATCATTCCAAAGCCTAAGTTAAATAAAACGATTAAATGTAAAATATATATAAATATATATAAATATATATTATATATATAAATATAATATTTCAAAATCATAACCCAAGCATAAATAATGTTATTATGAAAATTAGGAACTCACTTTTAATGAGAAGAAATATAGAAAAAGTGAGAAAGGAATTTTGTTATATAAAAGAACTTGCCATGATTTGTAATAACTTGTGAATAATTATAAAATTATGTTTTTTCATGCTAAATAATTAAAAATAAACTATGTAATTTGTATTACGAAATCAACAAATGAATTATTGGAATATTATATCTGATGGAATTATCTTGATATTACTGACATATATGTTTGTTCACTTGCGGTACACAATATATCTTTATTTATATTTAATTTATTTATTATTTACATATTGAATAATTCACATTGTGGATCCATTTAAAAAAAAAAAAAAAAAAAAAAAAACTTCAACTTTGAACTGGACCTATGAATGGCTTGTCAAAAAAAAAAACATAGCTGGTATAAAATTTCTGATTAGATTAAATGTGGATAAACTCAACTCCTAGGGCATATAATGGAATATTTTAACTTGAAGACATCATGGTAATGGTATGAATTTGTATTTGTTTGGATTTTTGTTATAGCCTATTATTCACATGCATACAAAGGTCGCCGTGCTACGGTACTAGCTTCACAGTGGTTGTGTTGGGGGGGGAGGATACAAAAAAAAATTTTGTATTCAAAATATAATAATTCTAAATTTCAATAGCCTACAAAAGTTCCATTTGGCATTGGAATATATTTGGCACAAAAGAAAGACAGCCTGCCTAAAGTTAACTCTGAAGGCACAGAAGATGCGGTCTTACTACTTACTGAATACCGGTACAGCGCGAAACACCGCAAAGAGCGCAAAACAGCGCAAAAGAGCGCGAAACAGCGCAAAATAGCGCGAAACAGAGGGAAACAGCGCAAAATAGTGGGGAAACAGCGCGAAAGAGCGCAAAACAGAGGGAAACAGTGTGAAGCAGAAAAAAATTTTGCAATGAGTTCGGGGCACCTTGTTTTGAGTTGGATTACCACGGCAGCAAATTAAAAACACAAACCAACGTACCGTATGTAGCCAGTAATGCTGTAATGGCAGGTCTGCCCCTGCTGGTGACACATTTTGGGTACCATAATTAGAACATTTACCATGTGGATATGGTTGGCTTTAGGGTTAGAGTTAGGTAAAAAGGGACCTCCAGAAGTATGTGCACCAAGATGGCGCACGACCTGAAAATAGTATGTGTGTGTGTGTGTGTAGCGCATTCAGGTTGTGCGACATATTGCTGCACATACTTCTGGAGCACCAAAAAGATAGATAAAATTTCGCATGATGACCTATAATCCGGTACATAACCTTGTAAATATACCGGAAATAGCGCCATAAAACCATGGCGAGAGGCGCCGTGGTTCTTTCGTGGCAGGAGGTGGTAATGACTGCGTCTCCTGTTTTGCGCTGTTTCCCTCTGTTTTGCGCTGGTTTCCTTCTGTTTCGCGCTGTTTTCCTCTGTTTTGCGCTCTTTGCGGTGTTTCGCGCTGTATTCAGTAAGTAGTAAGACCCCCAGAAGATGTGTTTGTTTTATTAATACTTAGATGAATACTGGAATATGGAAATCTATCTTCAATTAAACGTCGACAAGCCGGCAAAAAGGCCGGGTCTCATGTACTTTCGTACCTAACATACTTCTGGTGGGCGTAGAATAACAATATTTGCATGTGTCAATCCTAACCCCCACCTGACTACGCCATCCACAAATTATGTCTCTACGACGTCACAGTGACGTAATAGAGCCCCTTAAACTATACGAACTGTCATCCGAGACGCGTCTGCGCACCCGAAATCGAACGACTATCTCTCTCGTTTTTTCGTCGCGACGATCCAATATGAGAGAGATCGCTGACGTTAGTAAGTTCTTTATCGTCAGCGCCGATGCCATGTCGGGTGATCGTACGTATATTTGGCAAGCTCTATGACGTGATTGTGATGCCGTAGTGACATAATTTTTGAATGGCATAGTCAGGTGGGGGTTAGGATTGATATGTCAAAAAATTGTGATGCTACGCCCACTAGAAGTATGTTAGGTACGAAACTACATGAGACCCAAAAGGCCTGTAGTCAGTAGGATAGAGAGAGTGAATTTATTGCTTTTTATCAAACCAGAAAAACAAAACGATCATATACAAAATAAGAATTCAAAGTTTCGATATATGAATGGGAGGTAACTGGACTAGGTGAATATGTTTTTTTTTTTTTAAATCTTCGGCGGATGGCAGAAATCATATAAATATGCATATTTTCAGTGGCGCAGCCAGGGGTGGTGTTAACGATCAACTCTCTTTCAAAATTTTTGGAAGGCCGGAAAAGTCAAATAATAACACATTTGATTGCATTTTTGCTAAAATCGCCGATTGTTTTTGTCAGCGTGATACCGGAAGTCATTTCTGTATTTAGGCCGTAAAACTCCTTTAGGTTCTGTGTTTATTCTCCCTAAATCACATATTTCCCTCAACATGAGTATGTCTTGTGCCACGACAATGATGATAATTACCTTTTCTTGTAACCTCACAGAATTGAGAATCAGTGAGCGTTAATATAAATTCACCGGCGTCGAGATATTAATCGCGTGTAATCGCGTCGACTGTTTCAGAAGGGAATAGGATTTTTGATTTTGAACCCCCTTAAAACCCTTAATTAAAAATTCTGGCTGAGCCCCTGTATATATATATATATATAAACGAAATGCAACATAATAAACTATGATAATGACATAACAGTTAGCGGTATCTAGAAAAAAAGGTAAAGCAAAGTGTTAAACTATTTCACTTGAGTTCGGTGGGCTACATCAAATCGTTACCCCCATGAGCCGAGTTTTGGGAACCACTGGATTATAATCATTTTAATGTTTTCCAATAAATGGCAAGAATATTAGTGTAATTACTAATTGTGTTACTATAGTATGACTATTCAAAATATACTTTTCAGTGGGAATATTTGTTTTTGTGTATGAAAATTATCGCAAAAAAATTCTGTCAGCTCAAATTTCCATGATATTTTGCTAGCTTCACAGAAATCCATTCCGATTCTATTTTATCATCATTATTTTTTTACTACAATGTGTACTTTATGGTATTCGGGAGTAAATCATTATATATCTTTGTTACAGTATTAACATAAGAAAAGCATTATGTATTGCACTTTTTATGTTTCAGGCTATTTTCTTCTGTTTTGTGTATATTCTTCGTTTTAGTGTGGTGTTCATCTGTTTCGTGCTGTAAAAAGAGGATATCTTCTCCTATATAAGTGGGTTCTGTCTCTGTCCTACTATCCAAATAGGCCAGATTAACTCATGCAGCTCAAAACTAGCTCCTCGTAAAAGTCTATCCTCCCAAAGCAAAGGTTATTTTATTCATTACATGGACTGACCTATTTGGATAATTAAGATACGAAGGCTTATTTAAGATTTGTTGTAGAAAAAAAAGGCTCCTCCGCCAGTGTCCGTCAGTCACAGTGTCTCCCAATTCCCTTTTTTTTACATCCATCAAATCTTTGAAAACTGAAATTGTTTTATTCTACCTGATCGATATAGCTTAATTAACAGAGAATTTTATAAATACAATTCTGATAATTACAATAATGGCTGCTGCTGGACCTATGCATATTTCTGGTGTTAATGCGGGTGCAATTCCTGTAGTAGAGAGAGAAAGCATTTACCGATGGATCAATGAACTATCAAGTCCGGATACGAGAGAGTCTGCTCTTTTGGAGCTGAGCAAGAAACGAGAAACAGTACCTGACCTTGCACCGATGCTTTGGCATTCTTTTGGGACAATAGCAGCATTGTTGCAGGAGATTGTCAATATTTATCCTTCTATCAATCCACCGACGCTGACAGCCCATCAATCAAATCGTGTATGCAATGCCTTAGCATTGCTTCAATGTGTTGCTTCACACCCAGAGACACGAACTGCTTTTTTAACTGCTCACATTCCGTTATTTCTTTACCCTTTTCTGCATACTACAAGTAAAACTCGACCATTCGAGTATCTTCGATTAACGAGTCTTGGCGTTATCGGAGCGCTTGTGAAAACTGATGAACAAGAAGTTATTACATTCTTGCTAACAACTGAAATCATACCGCTCTGCTTAAGAATCATGGAGTCTGGGAGCGAATTGTCAAAAACTGTAGCGACTTTTATTCTTCAGAAAATTTTATTAGATGATACCGGTCTTCAATACATTTGTCAAACATATGAGCGCTTTTCACACGTTGCCATGATACTTGGAAAAATGGTTATGTCTCTTTCAAAAGAACCATCTGCACGTTTGTTGAAGCATGTCGTCCGGTGTTATCTACGTCTTTCTGACAATGCTCGTGCAAAAGAAGCTTTGCGTCAGTGCCTTCCAGATCAACTCAAAGATACCACATTTCTTACAGTTCTGAAAGATGACAACACAACAAAAAGGTGGTTGACACAGTTAATTAAAAATCTTCAAGAATCTGGTATCCCAGACCAGAGAGTGATAACAATGCCGCAGTAGCGAATTCAAAATACTAGAATAAATATATTTGAATTGATATCAAGAACTGATATAATATTCCAAAAAATCATACAATAAATGAGTAAATTATTTTTTATTAACAGTGAACCCACATTGAGTTGTATTATAAATATTTAGATTTTTCTCACCATTGCCTTTGCATTTTCCACATGTTCACAAGTCACAACTGGATAAAATTTTAATTATTTTCATTTTTTTAATATTTTCAATCTCTATCCACCTTACTACATAACGGTAGCCATAACCGATATGATGTTTGCTAATCTGGTTGACTTTATATTACCATGAAAATTGCCTAATATGTCTTTTTACACCTATACATGAAACAATTGTTAATATCATATCATTTTTGAATACCCAATATCCTATATAAGTTTGATGTGAGCTTGTTACTTCTTGGATATCGGTCATAGCAACTCTTTTTTGTATATTTTCTGAATGCACATTGTTAGATATTTCAGTTGCTTTTCTCTGGTATAATTCCCTTTTATTCCCGATATAAACTTGCTAAGAGTAAATTCAGTTTAAAGTATTTGGGTCAAATACATTATGCCCATCTCAAGATCAATGATGCAGATTTACATTTTCAAATTTGTACTGGGCATGGAAAGGATGAAAATTAGAATAAATTTAACTTGACTAACTTCGATTGGCTTGGAGGTCAAATAAAATTTGTCCATATGTCATCAAATGACGAAATTGTCAGGAATACCCTGTAACATTTTTGTAATAAATCCAATTTTTATTTGCACTATTTTGCAAATTCATTGGTTAGCAATAATCACAAGTCGTGACAATATTTTCTTTTTGAATTCTTTTGTAGTTAACAAGTATTTTATTGAGCCAATAATCATCACAGTTTTTCTATCTGCAGCTTTCACTTGGCTTATGACACTGATATGATGCCGGTCTTTCATTTTGTTGTGAATAGGAATAAATATTGCTTTGTGCCTTGTGTTGAAATTTGATAAAAATGATAATGTTTAGTATGTAATTTGACTATTATTATTTTATTGGTTCTTTATATTAAATAATTGTTATTTTTTTGCCAGATCTAATGTATGTACGTTTATCTCTTGCAAAAAAATTGTATAAATAATCAAACCATGGAATTTGATCGGCTTGCTATTATGCGAGTATTCCAGGGTGCTTGGGTGTCATTCAGCTCCGGTGACCTGAATAAAACAAAAGAAGCGCTCCAGTCTTTGTTTAATCCAACAAGTGATGTACTGTCTTCTCATGTAGAATTTTTCTCTCATTGCAAAGATTTAAAAAGCAACAAATCTATTGCTCTCTTCACTGCAAAGAATTTAGACGAGTGGTACACAGACCAGACAAAACATGGAAAACTTCCTTGTGTGGTGAACATGGAGTTAAAGCTTGCGATAATGCCAGTAATTGTTGTTGCCCATTCAGCAACTTCAAGCATTCTTATTAAAGTGTTTGAATTAAATAAATCGCCAAATGAATTCTTAAAGCCTTTTATTGATGATTTATTAGCTCAAGAAAAGATAAAAGAAGCCATTTCAGTGGTGATTAAACTCAATATGCAAGATCATTTCACTCTCACTGATATGGCTCTTCCAATGTTGACGCAAAACAAGTTGAATCTCGTTGAAGAGTATTTGATGGGATCAAAGTCGCAGCAAATACAGATTTTGAAGATGATTGATTCTTGGATAGAGACTGGATTTGATATGATAGAATTTTTTCAAGAACACAATATTTTTCAAATCAGAGGTGAAATTTTAAGACCAAAATTTTTGTCGAAGCTTCTCACAAGATGGTTAAAAGTTTTTCTAAATGTCAATGATCCTTACACTATTGAAGGACAAGAGCTCTGCCCGAATCTGTGCATGCAAAAATCTTTGAATAATTTACGATATTTACTCCATCGACATTATGTTGAAGAGATATCTTCAGTGGAAACAACTCAAGAATTAATATTAAAATCTGTGGGTGATAACAAATGGCTTCAAAAACAACTTGTGGATATACTTGGGACTGTATATGGTGATTGCGACAGTGCAAAACAGTGGGCTAAACTATATGAAATTAATCCAGAGCCTTTCACTGAATATTTCAATAGCGCTGCAAACATTAGTGGTAGCCCTAACGAGCCTGAGTCAGCGTGGGAATGTAGTGTTCCCGAAGTAGCCAATAAGTCTGGTTCAGATCAAAAGGTAACATCACAGGTTGCCACATTTCAAAAAAGAATGCATGAAACAAGTGAAGAAAATTGGTACAGTTTAAACCTACCCCTGGATCAGGTACATTTTGTTAATTCATCAGAATTGCTTGATCAATGCTCACAGAAAGTTATGAAATGTGAAGTCCTGGGTGTTGATTCTGAGTGGACACCAGATTTTATAAGGAGTGGGGGCGTTTCAGTTGCTTTGTTGCAAATTGCGTCATCTGATTGCGCATATTTGCTAGATGTGTTATATTTCTGTAATTCAGGAGAAAACGTTAAAACAGCTTTTGCTGATTTTATCAGAAGCCTTTTTTTGTCAAAAAATATTTTAAAAATTGGTTTTGGTATTAATGAAGATTTACGTAAATTGGCAACTGCAATTCCTGAACTTGGTAGCGATATGAAAAATACTATTCGAGTGATGGATTTGTGCACAGCAGTACGACACTTAGAACGGATATATCCGCAGGTTTTTAACTTTCCAGAAGAAACATTAAATTCTGTTGAAGTTGATATGCCTTGTGCAAAGAAAGAGACTGGTCTGAGCAAATTGGTACATCGTTGCTTGGGAAAGCCTTTAAATAAATGTGAACAAATGTCAGATTGGGAGCGAAGGCCGTTGAGACAATCACAAGTAATATATGCTGCTCTTGATGCTTATGTTTTACTGGAATTATATAATTTCTTAGATTCACAGATGAAACTTGAGGGCATAGAACATACCCTTGAGACTATCAAAGATATGAAAATTATGAAACGTAAAGCTAAGTCTACTCAAAAGACTAAAGCAAATACCAGTAATAGTGATTCTGTTAAAAGTTGTGAAGCAAAACAGCAAAATATTGAAAGGGATATAATACGTCCATTTCAATTTAAAGTTGTTTGCGATAACATGCTGCAGGGCCTTGGTCGGCAATTACGTTGTTGTGGGGTTGATGTCAGAATTCTGTCAAATTTTGAAGATCATGATGCAGCTGCAGAAATTGCAACCAGAGAAAACAGAATTATTTTAACGTCAGGAACCCCCTATCAATATCTATCATCTCAAGTTCCAATTGGGAATTGCTTTGATGTACCATGTGGAGAAAAAGCAAAGGAGCAAGCAGCTATAGTTTTAGAACATTTTAACGTAAAAGTCACACCGATGGATGTATTCAGTCGTTGTCAAATATGCAACGGAAATAAATATTTAAAAGTATCTCCAGAACTTATGGGAAAATGCATCAAGAAAAGGCTTCAACTGTTATCTGGGAATCCTGTAGACTCAAAACCTGGTAAAAAGGCTACTGCAATTCCCTGGGCGGATTTGCGACCTCTACAAGTCAAATCTCACAGTACCAACGTGGGACGTGGTAGGCATATGCAAGATCAAAAAGCATCTGAGAAGCTGAGGTATCCACGTGGTATTGGTCGCGGAAGGGCTTTCAGGGAAAAACGTTTCGAACAATCCATTGGACGAAAATACAAATTCACACACACAAACTCCTGTGGAAAGTACTAATGAGCAAAGCAATAAAAAAGGAATGAAGAATTACGAATACACTGAATATGATGATGAAGACGATGAATTACTAGTGGTTTGTTCTACATCGCCTGATAAACCATCAAAATCTCCTGAATTTGAGCCGATCGAATCAGCATCATCTTCTGAAGATAGATCACACAAGGAAAAAAGTGACGGCTGTACTTCGACATCTTCTGATAAATTTACTTTTATGGATAAAGATTCTGAATTATCTTCACCTCAGTTTGAAAGCGATGATATTATTCCTTCTGAAATATGTAAGGGTATCATGAACAGCGGTCAAAAAAGTAAAAGTACTACAATAATCACTGGTGCTTGGGGCAGTAATAAAGATGGTGTATTACCATATATTATAAATCCTGATTCTATATGTACACAAGGTTCTATTAATTTAGTGAATGTTACTATTGTTTCAACTGATAATACAAATAGCGACAGTTCTTCTATTGATGGTGTGGCAGTTCCATTGCAATGTGAACAAGTTCCTCAAAATATGGTCAGTCGAGTCAAGGTTTTTTATTGTTGTGTCAAATGTGGTAAAGTATTTTGGGAAGGTCGTCACTTTGCACATGTTTTGGATCAGTTTTCCAATATTTTGCATGATACATGAGTCAAAATGGGCTATTATTATGATCTTAATTTTGTGCAGTTACTTTTTGGTAATTTCTGACTTTCTATATTTCTGGACGGCTCTGTCCATTGAAGTCATATTTTGCTGCAATTTTGTAATATTTTTCATGTTTATTTGGTTGATTTTTGTTGTCACTAGAGATATCCAGTGATGCTAGTTTGAGAAAAATTTAAAAAAATTTAATCAATGAATTTATTTAAATAAAATTTACATTTGAACCAGCAGCATCTATACTAAGCCTGACTAGGCCGAATTAAAAATGAAGAATAGTAAACTTTCTCAGCGATAAATGAGTGAGTGAGTAGGCGTGACCATGCTATGAGCAAATTACCTCAACAAAAGTACAGGTCATTTTAAGGCTAGCATAATTTGAATATCTTTGGGCAAAAAAATTCATATATATATATTTATTGAAACACAATTATGTTTCCAGTGCAAACATTTTATTTTGATTACTGCTTTTTTGTGCTGTAATTGTGAATGTTTTGTTCCGTATTAGTTTCAATTAATAATTTCATTTTGTTGTTATGCATTTAATGTAGTGTCAAAAATGTTATTTCAAAAAAATCTATTGGTGAGAATATTATTTAGCCAAATGGAAACAAAATTACTTTTCACAAGATTAATATAATATGATGTTATAATAGCATAGCTCATTTATAATATTTATCATGAGGAGTAAAATAAGATCTAGTCTGGACTATCAAAATCTGTATCGTCTAAAACTAGTAGCTAAATTGATTGGATATTATCCTTGATTGAATGGTAATTTTATTTATTTTCATTTGGAAATTTTATTCTGAAAATTGACATCAAATATTCATACCATTGTGGGCTCATTCAATATGTAAAAAAACATCTAGACTTTCCTGCACTGCAAAATTCTATATTATAGGAACTAGCAATGAATGAAAACTCGAGTATATCTGATATTCCTAATTCGAAAAATATTTCACAATTTCGATAATAAATTTCTATTGGTCATCCCTGATCAAGATGTATCAAATTTATTACTTATCGATCTTGATCGGTAAGTATGTTGATAGGTATTTATCTGTTTGTTTGTCTGTTACACACTTTCGTATGTTACGCAATATCTCGCGAAAGCGAGGTTGAATCTGCTCCGAATTTTGCAAGTGCATTCATCTTCTCTCGGACCAGAAGCCTATTGATTTATGTCGTATAATTAGAGAGTTATTAATTGGTTAGTAATGGGACATGCGGTGTCGCTATTGAGTCAGAGCGAAGGATATACGCTGCTAGATCGATAAGTCGGAAGGTCTCTGATCGCTATCTCGTTTATTTATTATGCAGTTTCACTTCATTCCAGTGTTAGTTTATGTATTTCTCGAACCACATACCACTATTTTCAAATTTCTTTTGTTCTGATTTACAGAGGTTACTGCTATAAAAATATAAATGATGATGGCATGTGATAAACTTTTTCCTATATTCGTGGTCTTATTTTACTTCACATTCATCACTGGAGTTTATTCAAGTGGAAATATGTTCCATAATAGTGTGAGTATGGTTTCGTTTTCTAACCTCAATGTAGTTATTTATCAAGATTTCCAAAATACTGTATATATCTCTGCGGATGATACACTGCAATATAAATAATACTCATGCACATTTTGCCGCTCTCTATATATATATATACCGTAGATGAAAGATGTTTTGTTGTATTATTTATGTGGTCAATTTCAGTTTCTCTTTATGTGACCGCTACCTGTAGTTGCTGCAGAACCGTTAATTTTCTTGAAATAAGATCTGAATCATATATTGGCATGACATTATTAGTCAGAAATTCAACTGTAATGTTAATGAATATATGTTTTGATGAATTAATTATACAGGGGGCAGACCACTCGAAAGAGACATTATTTTCTGGTGCATTGGGGAATGTTGTTTTTGCAGAGGAATCATGGGTGAAGGGACGAACTGATCCATCTGGAGGTAAAGTAAAATTACCTGTTCCAAAAATTCAAATTTATAAGTAACCAACCATTATAGGTAAATTATATCCTTACCCTGAATCGCGGAAAGTATCGTGTGTAGTGCAGGGCTGGTTCAAAATTACAATGGCTCCAGCGCTGGAGCTTCCTTTTTCATAATGGATGTGGCTCAATAGCCATTAAGGTTTTTAAGCGTGACCAGTGACCACAATCATAAAACATCAGCTCCAATACAATTTCGACTCGAAACTATGATAAAAAGGTTTTCTAATTTTAAAATCAAACTTTTAAATATGTAATTTCAAGTTGAAACATTTAACTTCTTGTATTAGGTTTTGAAAAATTTTTTAATGATAAAAAATAATAAGTTAGGAGCTGCAGCCACTGAACTGTCTAGTTAATCCATCTAATATGGTAAGCTTGAATCCAGCTCCATGAAAACGGGGCGGCAGTTCCAACTTCCAACTCCCCTAATTTTAATTTAATTTGACCTGATCGATGCTATTATAAAGTTAAAAATCAAATGCGAGATGTTATAACAGTGATTGATTGTCATATACAGATATCATACTGCCTTTAGATAAGTGGGAAAATGTGGAATAATGGATGAGGTGTTACCGATAATAACTATAGTCTGTGGATTGTTCAAAAAGAGCTAGCCCACAAGCCTATGGACCTTTCCCGACCTTTGACCCCCGAAAAATTCTTCCTATACTTTACCATTGCAAAATGTTCGAGGCTATTTTAAGAGTGCTTTTGCGAGTTGGCGCATGTAAAATGAGGTATGTGTTTCAAACCATCAATATGGTTCATCGCATACAACAATCTGTTTTTTTAAAAGTACCGGTAACGAATTTTAGCCCAGTCTATCACGGCTATTTCTACACTATTTTTTTATTACTGCAATTAAATTAAAACTCCTAGGAAGACAGAGTGATCGTTGAATTATCTGATTTATATTTAAGTTTCCGAAACACAACAGAAAACTAACGAATAGAGTTCAAAAACGCGAGAACGAGGTACCGGTAATGTTTACGACCATGCTTGAAAATCTGTCTGAGTGAGAAAAGTGCCTGAGCGGATGCGAAAATGGAGCATTGTTACGTCATTGTTAGTCGATGCTCGAGGAAAGGTCCATAATAACTGCTTTGGTTGGATAATTACAATTTTGTTTTTAAATGAAGGAATCTCAGAAAAATGTATGAAGCTTTTGGACTCATTCAGCAATTCAACATCAGATTTTTTATCTTGCATATTGAATTATTCAAGACCTTTGCATTATTGTGAGAAATGTGTTAGTGAATTTGTTGATGTATTGAACACATATGCTGCAATATGCTCTGTAAGTAGTTTGATTTTTAGGTATTGCTATCTGTTATATTTATCGGAGTTCTTTAGTTGAATTGAAAGTTTGGGTCCACCAATATTCTCACATATAATTGCCTTTAAAAATGAATAAGCTGCAATAGGCATTATTTATCGCAAGACTCTCGGCTGCATATTCTGGGTACTTAGGGTCATAGTCACAGTTGGTAAGGAAAATTTTTGCCATGGGGTGATTTTATCTGTATTATAATAACTCTTGCGTATTTTGTAAGTTGTATTTTCATTTTCCACTTTTATACTTATCTTATTGTTATTTGCGGTATTGTGTACCCATATACTGCCACTATCTCTCTGTCTGTGTTCGGCGATCCGTATGTAAGATTACTCTAGCAGGAATCAAATTGGCAATATGGAGTCGAGCAAAATTGCTATACTGGTTCTATTGGAACTTTGCGGAATAAAATTTTAAAAAAGTATGATGCAAGAATATTACCTCACTAACCTGTTGGGGATTGTTTTTGTAATGTGAAAAACAAGTATTATTTCATTTAGGATGGTGAAAATGGAACAACCTGTCAAGATGAGTTGTTGCGTGCAGATAATGTTCAGGTTAGTGTTGCCGTACTATAGTGGTGAGTTGAAATGTTTATGGATTTTGGAGAAGTAACTCACTGCTCAGTTTTCCGGCCCTACAACATCCACACTTATTTATTGAAACCAAGGCACTGGCTCCAGCTCTAAACTCTGAGAAAATTCAATTTGAAAACTTTGGCATATGCAATCTTTCTTCACTTGTCTATTTACTACGCTTAGTCTATGTATGTTTTAAAATTCTGATTTGTGTTATCAGTATTGAATGATTTACTGTTCCCTCTAGGACAAATGTGCTATTCAACTCATCTTGATTTTTTTACATTAAAATATTTATTATTTTTATCAGAAAATTTTGTACACAGGTCATTTTACTGGCTTATGATTTTGTTGAAACTGTATGGGACAAGTCCACATGTCATAACTGTTACAACTCTTCTGTGAACAAAAATGGTACTACAGAGTATAAACCAACTGAAGAAACACTTTTGATGCTGGATGTTGGTGAAATTATTCTTTCTATTTCCCTAATGTATTCCTAAAAAATTTTCTCATGATGCTTTGCAGTCCATGGCATCACAATAGAAACCTGTTTGCCATTATTATAAACACTAGTACTGGTACTTATCATTTTTCAGATTGATGATTTCTGAAATTCTATGTGTATTGTTGTTTTTGTATTCAAGCATTTAGTAAAGATTGGCTAACAAAGTTAATGACACCATTTATAATTTATGTGGTATTACTGCTTAGTGCTTACTATAAAAAACTATACAACTTACTATAAAAAAGTGCTCAGCGCTGTGGTGCATTGTGCGAAGCGTGAGGTACGTTTGCTTTCGTGCCTCTGATTATCCTGCGTGGGTTCGCAGCTTCGAATCTTGTGAGAGAGAATTTCTGGACTTCCTGCTGCCGTGGGGCGATTCGCGTAACAGTTGGTAGGTTACCGCTTCCTCCACCATCAAGTCCATGCATTTGAAACAAATAAGTGGCCAACTAATGCAATGCCCAGTATCATCTGGTAACAAGAGGCCGTGGTTTGCCATTTGATGAAGCCTCCTTAGCGACTTTCCTCTCCCTTAGGATAAATTGTATTTTCTATCATGAAATAGAGCATTACTGGACTCCCGGTTGAGAATTATCTCCTTCTTGTTTATCCATATACAACATTCAAATTGCAGTATATTGTAACACATTGCATTCAATGTCAAATGTTTCTATACAACTACAAAATGAGTGTAGGATTTTTATATAGTCTTTACAGACTATACTCTGTATTTCAGTCATGTGGTCGGATATTCAATAACTTTTCGGAAGTCTTATCTTCTTAGTAATCAGGTTTTGTTGTGAAAAATTTGTGAGAAAAAACAGCTGTATTACTCCTTTCCAATACTAATTCCTTATGACCATACTTTGGCAATGAAAAATAATTTCTACATACTTTATTTGAATGCCTTTTCAGTTTCTTGCTTTTCATTTAGGAAATTGATGAAGTACAAAAATGCTTCCAAGATTTTGCTGAAGATACTGCAGACAATGCTACAGTTTGTGATGTTTGCAAGAAATTATATTCAAATGCAAATAAATATTATAATATGTTGGATGAAGAAGGAAAATTATGCAGCGACTTGAAGGATTCTGTTAGTATTATTATTACTTTTTGATTTCTTCCATACAAACTTCGTAACATTTGTGTCATGAATATCAGAAAAAAATGTCTTAAATTTTTTTTACTCATTTTCTAAATGTGAAAATCAATACCACTGATTGCATTTCCTGGCTATGAATTACTTCAAGTCTTGCAGTACCAGAGCCTGTCTGCATTTGTGGTTTTAGCAGGAGTATGGATATTTATCTGTTACCACAAACATTTTCTTTATTCAACATTAAAGGTATATATCAGGGGTGGGCATAAATTTTTAGTATAAGAGCCGCATGCGACAAGTCATAAATATGTGAGAGCCGCATATTATATTAATAATATTAGAATACCGCGAACTGGAAAGAACTTTACACAAGCGTATAATAACAATATTGCAAAGTATATATTGCGAGGCCATATTAGAAGTAGTTGACTTGTGTGTTCCCATCCTATCTGAAGTTTTTAAAAGTGTTGGTGATATGTGCCAACTGCCAACACAGCAACAAACATTTGATCATTGTGATGTAAGATTTGTTGTTTGACTGATTTAACTTCAAATTCCACACTACGATTTTCATACTAAAACATGATTTGTCTTAATCATCGATGAAAACTTCTTCAAACGCTTAATATTTAAAAAAACTGTTAAGCTACAGTTTATCTTTAATAATTATTGCTAGCAAGGACAGGCGCATGGAAATTCCGGCGAGCCGCGGTTTGCCCACCGTGGTATATATATATATATATATATATATATATGTACTCGTGTGTGTGAGTAAGGATGGGGTTTCAAAATAGGAAATTCCCATTGTCGTCTGTAACAGTCACCGCGATTACGTGCTCGTTAAAAGAGCCTTTTCAGCTGTAATGATTTTTCCGTCGCGTAAAATATTCAATCCATGACGACTACGAGATGCGAAAATGTCCTTATATATTAATTTAATTGTGTACAACGTAACTCGCGGTTGCCACTTCTTACGTCAAAATAAAAACCTTTCATACAGTAAAATACGACGACGATCTGTAGACATATATATATTAGATAAGCTGCCTGATGTATTTAGTTTTGACACGTAATTTTGCAATCTTGCAAAGTGGTAATCGCTGTGAGAAAATTTCGAGAAATGGTATAAAATCCCGTATGGTACAATTTTACTTCATACAATGGAATACATATAAAGTATGCCAGTAAATCGAAAATACATATTCACCGCCTCGCAATCCACGCCGGACAGTCGCCACTCCGATTATTTTTTAAGATGAAACCTCTCGAAAATCCGTAAATCTGCTGCAAAATCTCAAGAAGTGAAATTTATTTCAGTACAATAAAAATTGATTGAATATACCGGTACTTTAGATTAATTATCTTATCTTATATATCATCACAACCCGGAATAAAAAAATCGTGTTTCCAACCTTGTTTAAAATGTTAAAACAAAATTTTTGACGGGCAATTTTAAAGTAATGGATAAAAAGGCAAACCCCGCCCACAATTAACCGTGTTTCGATTTTAGGGACGATATGTTTGTAAACGCCGACTAACCATAATGTGTGCCTTAGGCATACGAAATTTTGCAATCTTCAATGCCTAAAAAAGCGCTTTTAGACTGTCGCGGGCCTCAACAAAACTCATTTGTTTACGGTTTTATCTTCAGCATTTATATATTTTTATTTATATACCCCCCCCCCCCCCCCCCCCCCCTGGCTGCGCCACTGACTTGCTTTGCTTCCAGCTTATTGCTTATTGTGTGGAAATTGATTCTTGTTGAATTTCTTTCAAACTTTAGATGAATTACACAAGAAGAATGTGGAGTAAAAAGTTCAAATGTACAGTGGCACAACGTATTGATTTGGTTATATATGGGATGGCTGTGGCCGTTGGACTTTTTCCTGTTATATTATATGTTGGTGCTTTTGTTTATGGCAAATTACAGGAGAAGAAATGTGAAAGCACCAGACAGAGATCAACAGGTGGAGATACTAAGATACCACTAGGCACTAATATTGCAAATTATGTAGTTTGAACATTTCTGTGTCCTGATATAGTTTGTTTAAATATGTCTCGTGAATGTAGTTCATCATTTGGTTTGGAATTTATGTTAACTTGACCAAATAATACATTACTGCCGTTATCGAAATAATAGCAGTAATCACCTTTTAATCTCATTGGCTCCCTTTTTTCATAATACTCTATGAGACGTGAAAAAGAATCTTCGGTTGAATTTTACTCAAATTGATTTTAAAAGTAAGGTTTCAATTTAGATTATGGAAGATGATTAATTTAACCTAAAAGGTATCAAGTAGCTTGTTTTCAAAATGTGATAGAGCTCTTGAAATATCTCTGCAGTCCTTTTGAGCATGTTTGGCCCATAAATTTATATATTTCCGCCTCCAAAACATATTTATTTTCAAATATATTCAATGGATCTCTTTCCAGATAGCGAAATAAAGACCAATATCAATTTGAAATTCAAATTAATTTATTAAAATGTTATTCACAAAAGCTCTAACAATATCACAAATATCTTATTTTATCAAAGTAACAAGTTCCTGCAGTTTCTTGAAACATATATTAATGTCTACATTTGTAGTGTTCATGACTCCGTTTCTAGATATAGAGATTACTCTTGGTTAAAGGTATAATTTTCAGCGGCGTTTAGTTTCTTTTTTATATTTACAGGGTCTTCACGGCAAAGAGTTATACTGAGTGAAAGTGTGAATCCTGAGAGTGAATCGTAGACCACCTGAATGTCGAAATAATGAAAAGACGAAAGTATTCCCTGCCGTCATTATTATCACTGTGAATTCCAGCATTTAGTTTGATCTAAGTCACTCTTATCCTTTATTTATACATTTTTATTAAATGCTGAATTAGTTACTGAATTTCTTTTTTCGTTGGCTATGATTTGTCATACTCATAAATGTGTTATAATCCATCACTGTGGAACTTTAACAAATAGAATGGTATTTCGAATATGGCTCGGCGGTGTGGGGTTTGGAATACGCTCGCACCGTTGATTGCCCTGCGTGGGTTCGGATCCCATGGAAGATTATTATATGCAAGAGGATGGCTGGTCGGTTAGGGCTTCCTCTACCATCAAGCCTATTCCTTCAAAATAACTAACCGGCCAACTAATCCCATACCCGACATGGATTGGTAACCTGACGAGAGGCCGTGGTTCGCCATGTGATTAGGACCTCTTATCGCCTTTCTCCGGGACAAATATTCAAATCCTATCCTATGTTTGCATTGTCTTTATTCGATATAGTGAATATATGATTTTAGAATGTTTAGATATAAAAATGTATTATCCTAATCATTAAAATTGACCTATATCCACCTCTCACTCTTCCAAAATAGGAACTCGATCAAAACAATTTTTTTTTGACCATTCTGTATTATTGAAATCAATATTTTATGAATGTAGCCTCAAATTATATTCCCATATGAATTTATAACTGGTCGCCGAATTAATCGCTTCGTTTGAATTTGCTTCTTTGCGAGGGTTGGATGGGATTTCGTGATTATTCCGGTGAGACAAAGTTGATGAAAACCGTTTATTCGAAAATTCCAACGACTCCATTGATTTCGGGCTTCGTTGAAGACCGTATAACTATAAAAGGACGAAGAAATTTTATATATATATGTTTATTTTGACTCCATAATCCGCTTAAAAGACGATAAAATAATTGATGAACAAAATAAATAAAACTGATACAGAAGCGGGGAAGCGAGCAAAACCTAAGTAGGGTTTAAAACGTGCAGGTTATAGATTTTAAGGTGTTGTCAAAAGAAATGGTACGCGTTCGCCCACTAAAAAAAGCGCGGCCAATGCATCACACTGGTAATAAGTGGCATGTCAAACTTTTCTGCTGTCCGGGGCGATTTTCTGATATTACTACCCCTTATTCCCAACTTCAAATATAATTAGGGGTATGAACAAATTATAGATGTTGTTATACACGAGAATGAATAAAAGGTCGAGTAAGAAAGAAGTGTTTGTAATATATATTATTATTTAAATCACCAAACTAAGCAACACACTCACCCCTATAACCTGCTGCCCGGGGCGACTTCCCCTTTCCCCCTCTAGGCACGCCACTGCATATAGAACAGCGGATCCTAAAGGGTGAGCCCCGGCGCCAGCGAGTTGATAAGTGCGCCGCGAAAATTAAAAGAATTGTGTTAAACATAACTACAATATGATTGAATTCAACCTGAGGCGCCGTGGCGGGCGGATTCCTATTTCCTAACGCTCAGAACGATGCGCCACACAGCTGAGCCAACGCAATTTCGCGAGATGAACTGAGTTTGGCACACCAGTGTGATTTTATTAGCACTTCGAAGCAACACATTAACGATCACAAAATTAAGTAAAAACTGTATTTTTTTCGTTTAAGTGCGCCGTGAGCCCGTTTCCCCGATAGTTTGGCATCTCATGAACAAAAAGTTTGGGTAATGCCTACAGAAATCAGAGTCAACCTTGTCTTCTTGTGAAGTGCTTCTTTCAATGTGTGATCTGACTTCTAGTCATTCAGTGGTGTAATTTATATATATACTTTAATTCGATTGCGATCGAGTAGAGTAGCCAGAAAAGGCTTATTAATGGAAAATCAAAGGATTGGTATTCACTCTAGAACCCATATAGTCCTGATATTTATTGAGCTGAAGCCTAAAATGTCACAAATTGTCAGTTTGTTTATTCGGTGTGTATGGTCCTTATCAATTATCGCGATGTTGCGATCATCAAGCGAACAACCAGGATAAAAAATGAGGGATGCAACAAGTAAATTACAATATAAGAATACTTTTATATCTTTATTGTTTGGGAAAAACATTACGGTTTAGATATTTTGATTTGATAATAGTAAAATAATCTACGATGAGGTTAAATTTATTTGTGACGTCACAGTTAATATATTTATTAGCCAACAATCGTACTTGCGACAATATTAAATTTGCAAATTGATAAAAATGAAAATTCTATTAGCCGTGCGACTCCGACTTGTATCAACAGGTCAAAATGCCGCTCATTCTCGTGTTTGTACTTTGTACACAGGCTCTTGCGTAAACGAATACAAGTTTTGCTTGCATTAATTAAATTTGTATCTAGAGTATATATATATTAATCTTCACCAAAGTTAACTATCGGAGAACAGCAAGCAAAATGTATCTGGGATCGAAATTACTTTCGAGCAGTATCGGAATTCCTCATGACGATTACATACTGGACAACCCTGTGCATGGTAAGGACATCGGTGGATTTTTGCATAATTTGTTCAAAGAGCCCAGGATCGGTTATTTTGGCTGATCAAAACATTTCCTTCAACCTAAATGACGACGCTGCTTTTAATCGCAATACTTCGACATGATAAATTCCCTATCTCGTTCATTGTTAAATTGCTGGGACAAACTGTTGAGGCCACAAGGAGTCTTAAAATTAGAAAAAGACTAAAGAAAACTTTAAGGATGCTCTTGACAATATGTACAAAACCTGAAAATTTCTTCAGTCAACATCAAAAACCCTGGCGATTGAAAAAATCAGCTAGAAAATTTATTCGTCAGGCAATTAAATGCCATGACAACATTGCGTCAGAGAGGTTGAGACTACGAGCATATGAACAATTGTTGTCGTACACGACTGAGAAACAATCGAATATGCCAAGTTTGGATCGCTCTGGAACAAATCGCATTTCCACGAATAATAAATCTAAAGAGCACAGCATCAAACTCAGGTAAACTGTTGGTAAATTGTGGTTTATGCTGCTGGCGATTCAAATAACTCCAACAAAAGAGAAAATGGAACGCCTCGAGACTGTGTGCTTCAACCATCATTCGTAAAACCGATCAGAATATCCGATGACAAACAACCAGAAAAAATCTTCCCTGGGAAACAAAGACAAAGTACAAATGATGTGAATGCCAATGATCCTGTTTCAGAAGTTGAAATTTCAACTATTCCGGAACATCTGATAAAATTGAACACAATAAAGGATGGAGGTAATTCTGATTCTGCTCTGACCAACCCCAGAAATTCAACAATCAATGCTTCGGCCGAATTTACCAACTCTACTCCAGACGGAGAAATATATAATAATGCTTCATGTTTAGTCAGTCATAATAATTTAAAAAAAGATTCCAACAATCACAAGAAAAATCATGTCGTGTCTGAAAAAAAAAAGAAAAAAATATTATAAAGGTGAGTTTTATTCTTACTATTTAGGACAAAATTCGAGATCGCACTGAAATGCATTTTTTTTTTATCTTTTTTTGATTCCGCATGTACAATGTGTACTTTCGGCATGTGAAAAAATAAACTATACTTACTGACTGACTGAATAGACAATAAAATTAAATTGTTTTATTCAAAAAATATCGTGCCAAATCGAAAAATCCATTTCGATGGATTCGAAAAACCATACAAGCAAAATTCAAATCAGGTTGGAAAAAGAGAGACAACGAATTCAACTCTAAACTTGAGTCATTGTTGGTAAACATTCAAAACAATATACAAATCGAACGGAAACGAAATAATGAATTTCGAAGAATTCTTCTTCTGTTGAAAGACAAAGAACTAAGAGAGATTCGGAATGCTCGTAACTATATATTAGAGCAAAAAAGTCGTGCAGCTAGGAATGTGAAAAATGTAATACAGATTCGAAAACAGCTGAGAAACAACCACAGCAATTCAGATTTGAATATCAATCAATTCCAATGTGCTTCTGGATTCCATGGTACAGATATTCGCAAAGAATATTTACTCAATATTAAAAATCCAGTTTCGATATCAATGTCCTGCCCAAAATTACACGAAAGGCCGCGTCGATCCAGGGAGTTTCCGATGAAGTGTCTCACACAGACAGGTTCACGGAAACTTATATCTGCGCGAAACAACACATAGTTGGGCTATTTACAACTTGTTTAAACATGAAAGTTTGGATATCTGACGTGAATTTAGGCTTAGTATTACGGAAAATACATATTTCGAAGAACGTTCATCGAACCTCTGGAACAGCTCCAGCCAACCCCAGGGGTTCGATCGAACCCAGGTTAAGAAACACTGACCGGTAACTAGAGGGCTATATTGGAGATATTCCTAAAAGTATATGAATTAAAGAAAAGTGAATATAATCAAGGCAAATGATACCATATTTACAAAACCCTACAGGCCTACATGGTCATCGTTGATTCAAAAATAAATAGACTAGCAATTAAAATTTGAATAAAAGTTTTTTTTTTTGAAGTGCTTCCCGTATAATTTTGTTCAGAACAGCAGAATGTCCACTATTTGTACACTTTATCTACGTTAACCTAAACTTTTGCCAGATTTTTTCAATTACCAACCAAGTTATGCGCAGTGTGTGTGTCCACACTGTGGTAATAAATCAAGAAAGTGAGTTTGGCTGCAACCTTTGAGCGATGCTCAGGAACATTTCGAGTTCCACACTAGACGGCGTTTGCGATTCGCGTAACCGTAACTAAATACCAATGACTCACTGGCCCAAAACTTTTTGTTCGTGCGACGCCAAGTTATCAGGGAAACCCTCACGGCGCACTTTTAAATAAACTCAATTTTGTGATCGATAATTTGCACTTTATGCGTTTGAACGTTTGTTAACATGTAGGCCTCAAGAATAAAGACAAAGGGCCTAAACAAATCACTCTTGTTTGCTAAACTCGGTTCAACAGATAATAAACTACAGGTAGTGTCTACCTCTATTGTTACGTAACAAGAACAACATTATCACGTCACGCAGCGTAACAACAAATAAACTATGTACAAAGATAAAATGAAGTTATTGATTCATATACACAGCATTTAAAATAACAATAAAATATTAATTGACAATACAACGAGTAAAATATTCAATCATATATATATATTAATTCTGTTTATATATTATTTCACTTAGCAAATCGCGCCCCTTTGGGAACGTTATATATGAATGTAATAATTTATAGTGAATTACATTTATGCCATTTGCCCTGTGACAAGTCCCATTTAACACGTCTCGACGTTTTATCGACAACGTTTTATCGACGACGTTTTATTAAATATTAGTCAGCATGTAAAATACGTCAAATCGACTTTGTTGGTGCCACAGTAATGATTCGTTCTAATTAGCACAATATCTTAAGGCTTAAGCATCGGCTGTTAGAGAATTCAAATATTTATCTCAATAATGCAAGAATCGATTAATGTACCATATGAAACCGATTCAAATGTGTATAAAGACTTGAAACATAATGACACACACGTGTCTGTGATTCGTGGTATTAGATTAGAGGTCGCTAGCTAGACTATTTGCTAAATTTCAAAAGCGGATAAAATAAAATAAAGCCTCCGTTTGTTACCAGTATCTTTTGTCAGCATTTGCCATCGCGGTTGTCCTTTCGTTTGTTACCAGTATATTTTGTCAGCATTTGCCATCGCGGTTGTCTGCCAAAACCCTACGACAGCAGGGTCAGTACAAACTCAGTACAGTTACTCGGATATTCGACATTTGTTAGAATAATATTTGTAGCAGATAGTATTGACAGTACCAATTCTAACTAAGGATAGGATATGCATATTCATCCGGAGAGAGGGAATTCGGTAAGCTTGGCTCCAGCCCCACCAAAATGTCACGGCTACAGACTTCGAATACAGCTTCGGATCCCCAGCCTGCTTCAACGGGACCTCCTGATGTATGTGCACTGAGATGGCGCACAGGAGCACCCTCCAAAGAGCATTGCCAGTATAAATGAACGATTTTTTGCCATTTGATAGACTGTTCTCGCACAATATCGCTAGGTGGTGCTAAAGAGCGATGTGTGGCACTTGTCCGGAAGATTCGCAAACACGTGATTTTTGACTACGACAGGATGTATACAGTTGTATGAAATATATATAAATCACCGCTGTACTTCTATGAAAAATACCGTAAACACGCGTACATCCAAAAAATAATTTGTTATCGTTGTAACACCTATTGGACAGTTGACGACTATAAGCTTTATATACGACTTCATGCGCTGTTATGCTTTTGCAGAGAGTTCGTGTACCTTGTAAATGAAGTGACAACAACCAGATCAACCTATTTTTGACAATTAAAACTCCATGCCTACGCTGCCCATCCGACAAGCGCAGAGGCATTTTTTTCTGTTCTTATCTACAAAACATCCTCACACCTGTTTTCTACTAAAACCAACATTGGTGTAAATAAAGATGAAAATGTAAGGAAATCTCATTTATTGAAAAAGTAGACAAAACGATCTGATGGTAAAATGGTCACAAAAGAATTTGCTAATACTGCTCAAAAATGAATAAAATGCAGGAAAACACAAAATATCTCGTCCACCGGACAACTTCTAATAATGCTTTTAAACAAGCAGTCTTGAGAACATTATCAAGTAAAGTTTTCAACTCGGCGGGGAACAAAAACGGAAATTACACAATCACTTGCAATAGCAGTCAGAAATAACATTTATCATAAAAGGCGCGAACGTAACGTCCACCTTAGTCAAATGACAATCAATTGGCTCCACGAACACACACCTTCATACAAATCCGAAGAACCACCCAGCAAAGGGGGTCTCCAAAATACACCTTATGTCGACAGAGTTCTACCATTCAATAAAAGACAATGACGGGCTTCAAAACTGAAAATGGTGAATATCCACCATGTCAAATAGAACTCTGGAACGCATATGATTGAAAAAAATCTAAAAATTAAAATTGAGTTGTTATCGCACACAACGCGATAGTAATTATAGGATGCTTCTTAAAAAGAAAGCAACCACGAAACAGTGCATGAAATGAATTAATAAAATCGCAAAAAAACTAAGAGCACCAGCAAATATCGTAGAGACATCCAGCGTCAACTACAAATCAGTGTCGTACATGTTGAACCCTACTTGGTCACATGCTCACGTAGAAAGAATTCGTATAAAAGGCTTCATCGAGCACGGCTAACAGTGTTTAAACGCAACGTAGTTCCCACTACAATATACACATAAAATCAATATTCTTCAACAAGATCATTCATTGTTATTTCCATTTACAAGTCTCTTTCGTTTCTGACTGGGGCGTGCTAGTCAGAAAGAGCCGCTCCTAAGTCGCATGTAATCAAATTTAAACGGCAAACAACTACACATTTGGCCTCGTGATGAAGAGGGCGTAGAATACGCCCGTTTTCTCTTGTCGCCACCACCACACGCCGTGGTACGCGCTATAATGTCCCTCCAGACCGCTAGAAGTTGAGTGTCCTTTTCCAATGATGGTTCAACAGATGATGGATTAGCAGATTCATCGCTGAATGGCTCTAGTTCACAAAAATAATTTACGACTTTTCTGGGTGTATGCTCCATAAAACCACGCTCAGGTTCCCTCGCTGGGAATGAATGTTCCAAGCTGTATTGATAGATACCTCGAGACTTTTCCAATACGCTGGAGTCTTCTTCACTCAATACATCTGACTTCGTTGTTACAGAAACAATTGGAATTTCTAAAAAGAAAAAATAATACATTTAGTTTGCGTTGATCGATTACCATTAGCCCAAATAACAATTCAACAAAGCAAGATCGAACTCGCGCGAGGTTGCGGAATGCCGCATCGGCACATTGCCGCGTGATGGCAAAAGTTCGTAAACAACTTAGCATATTTATAAAAAGAGAGAAACGCGGTTGCGCATAAGAAAAAATGAAACCCTCGGCTTCGTAAACAAGTAACGTTCGATAAGAAGAGAGAAGCAACCGGCGAATGCGGCCGACACGGTCGCTTGGGCTCGAAAGACTCTCTCGTTGTTCATCAGATGGGCTCGACAAAGAGTATTTCACAGGGACAGCCATACTCTCCTAACCACAAGCCCAATGGCTTGGCTATATCAACGTGAAACTACACAAAAAATTCAAAAGAATTGACTATGAGCCGCTTTCATCTAAGTAATTGTAGGTGCATTTATTTCTTTCAACCACCATCATAAAATTACATTCCCGAGATTTTATGTCAAAAACAAAGTCGCAATCGGGTGTCACGAAATAGATAAATAGTTTCGCGAAATCATTTAAAATTTAGGCGAGAAGCTGAATAAAATACTCACTATTTACTGATGAATGTTTCGATGTTGAGATCGCCTGTTGCACGATAGACATCAGTCTTGTGGCAGGTTGTTCATCCACTGCTGATACGAAAAGAACACAGTCGATTTTTCTATGTGGTTCATATGATTTGTGATATCGCTTTTTTATAAGTTCTTTGTTCATGAGCAGCACACAGGGTATGCATTTGGCCGGAATTCTTCCTTCAAAAACATATCTGAGAATAAGTACTGCATGATCGGTTTCGTGAATATCTTCAAACCCCCTTGTATCAGCGAAAACCACTTTCCCTCCAGATTCATTCTTGTGTAACACACACTCGTCGATTACGTGGTTTCGACCAGGACAATATTTGGCTTTGTCGGACCATTTCTGTGTTAATGCCATGGACATTGAATTTATGAGCGATGTTTTTCCTGAAACGACAAAAAATATATTGTTAGTTAACACGCCGCACACGGTATGGATATATTATAATAGATCTGAAACAATCTAGTTAGCATCGTACCTGCTCCGCGTTGTCCAATCACTAAGACGTTGAGATTAGTGTTCAAGTGTTTATTGAACATATTGAAAATCATTCGCCTCGTCCTTGCATTGATATCTTGCAGGCTTGGTCGTTTTGGCGCAGGTTTTTCTTCTTCTACGCAAGGTTTTAATGAACATTCATCCTTCACTTCATTATGATTGAGATCAAGCATTTTACTGCCAATTTCTTCTGAGGAACTTTCGCAGACTTGTGAAGCTTTGGCAACGGTTACTGACATTGCTCCTTCGACTTTGCTGATTTTGCCGATGAGCGGAGTTGCACTGCAGTTATTCAAAGGTGCCATCTGTTTCGATATTTATCACTAATAAATGAGACAGCCTTCTGAAACGAACGTTTCAATTATAAAAGTTAACTTGCTTGTAGAACCTCTCGTATAGCATGGTACGATTGAAATAATTACACCGGCTGACTGCAAGCTGTTTTAAATCGCGCTGCGCATCCTTCGGAGATGGAACCCAACTCAGCCAGCCGCATAAAAAACAAGGTTGCCGATGCGGGCGAAACCAATATTATTAGTGAGAGGGGTAATAATTTGCAGTGCCACACAAAACAGCTGTGGCTCGCTCTTTTATTCTCTTTCTATAGTTCGTATGTCTCATATAGGCCGAGTAGACGTTTTTGGACACGTAAAATACCACCTGAAATGGTTTCGTCCCAGCTGACTTTGTTGCGAAATATTGTGATGTCACAGAGAAGCGAGAGAAAACGGCTCGCAGTGAGATAAAGAAACAGACACGAGGCGCATTGGTTTCTTTCTTTAATAAAACGTGAGCGCAAGATCGATGTGGCTTTCGCAATAACGAACACACCACCGATCGCAATCGAAATATTGATGAAGCTTTATGGCGTGAGTAACCGTTGTATTATATTCAAAAATATGCTTTGGTTGTGCCATACGAAATCTACAGCCGGGAAAATTTATTTCATATCTCTGCGGTCATTATAGCAAAAACTAAAAGACTTGATAGCTTAGTTTTTGTTTTTTCGGATTTTATAAGACGTTTGGCTAACATTAAATCTTCGAACATCATCCTAGCGCTGTTGATATACAGGTTGTTGCGAAAGCTTGTCTCAATGGTCGTGAGAGTGTGAATTAAATATTGCGAAATCGCGGTTGCGCAATTCCTAAACAGCTGAACGGAGACACAAGCCGAAAAGACGGTCGAAACCGGTTTAACGACTCGGTCATAACAATTCAAAAGGGAGTTGTGAAATCGATACACCATTATCAGCAGTAATTCTTTATGTTCATCGCACCAGCTTCGTCGAGTAGCTGATCAGCGTTGGTTGTTTGGACTGAGATAGTTCAATCCTCTTTCTACACCAAAAATATATTTATGACGACAAAAAAGATATAAATTATACACGCGAGAGTGCGTCGTGTTGTATCGATTAGTGCTACCGGTGTTCGTTGTCAATCTGGTACATTAACGCAATAATAGATCAAAGAGAAATAATTGCATGACTAGAGTACTCTCTTGTACCTTATGTTTTCTATTAATTTTACAAATTGTACTGCATGTTCTATTTTTACTCTACCCTTATATAGCAACATTATTCAAAATTTTGAAGGTTAAATGATGCTCCATTTGTACTAAACTAATACCTGCTGGGCATCACAACTAATTGTCTTCCATTACTACGCCTGCATCTAATCAAATCTACAACGATTACTCTATTATAAATACTTTTTCATTTTAAATAAGGCTCCATACCAATCAGATTGAGCTAATATTATCGTTCGTCAAAGTATACATATTTTATAGCTACCAGTACCATAGACTGCACTAAGTTGAATGTTAAAATAAATCGCTCCCAAAATTTGTCGTACTTGCGCTGCCCATTATCACTTGACCTCTTGACAAGTGCGAAAAGGTATTCACGAAACTCAGATTGTCCTTCGCGACAATTACCTTGTGGAAATGATATGGCAACTTGCTATATAGAAACGCGTGTTACCAGTTTAACCAAGAAAATTTGTCGCATATGAATTGTCGAAAGCAGTTCAACCCCAAGGGAAATTAACTACTATTCTCTGACTTCTCCAGATATCTCTGAATTTTATTTGTCTGTCTACTTTTTGTGTTGTTTTGATTTAAGTCAAAATACCAATTTGACATGATTGATTGATGATTGACTATATCGAATATTCCAATAGCCAATTATTCTATCTTAGGTATATGACGAAAAGCAAGCATGGCTAACGAAATGAAAAATTTTATGTACCATGTAAAAATGAACGAAATATGTTACGACTCGAAGGTATGTAAATGACACGTTTCACTTGTATTTCACAACCTAACTGTTGCGAAATAAATATTGCGTAATAAATGGTTATCGGATTTGTTAGCAAGTGAGCATCACAAACTCGGGGATATCCTGATATAACCGACGAATGACAATATGCACGAAACTCGAACGAGCGTCTCAATCTGACACGTTTCTGGTGCTATTAATCGGTCACTTGTCCGTTCTAACATTAACTATACTATTGATACAGCAAAAAAGTCTGCCGCTTTGTGTATACTGTACGTGCAATATGCTTCGACCAATTTATCGATCTTGCTGGAACGCAAATCAATCTGGCAATTAAAATTATCACGGGTCAAGAGAGCATAAAAAAAGTCCTAAAACCTGATTTATATATAATGTTCGTGGTACGATTATTTTGATACTTTTTCATGTAGGAAAACGATCGCCATGTTATTTCAAAAAAAGATTTTGCAATATCCGGACCGGTTTTAGTCAAATATGTCACATTAACCAACCTTCATTACATTGATGATACGATTGGGAGAGCTTTCGCAGCGTAATAGATATCGAACAACCCGAAGTATCATAACGCGAAATACAAATTCATAAACTGAACCAGCTGACTACGAGTTTACAAGAGGAATTTGCCAATTTGCAATCAAAAATATTTTGTTAAATTTCTGGACGGAAATAACTTGTTCCTGAAAGTCGACTAATAACATTCTGTTGAACGCCGCTGTCCGACGGGTACGAATATGGGGAATTTGGCAAAAAACACCCGGTTTGTAAACGTGAAACATTTCCCGGTATCTTCTGAGGTAGACGTGAATTACTGTCGAGGGTCGCTTCTCGCTGTTCATATATTCGCGTGAACTTTTTTTTCATAACCGTTCAATCGGAAAATAAATGCATATTGGGATTTTATTCGAAAGAAGTTTTTTCGTTTACGTAATGTAATTTACACAAATCTATTCTTTCGAGGAAAAAGGTCTCATTAAAGGCCTTTTTGCTCTCTCCGTAAAAAAATATCAAATATGAAAGACAATTTGCTCGGCGGAGTCATATGCGTACATAAGTTATTCTAGATTGCTAACTCATTCCTAAAATCATCATGTGGTCTGCCAAACTTAATTTTATTGGAGCAATTTAACAAAATGTCAATGTAATGGGGTAAGATTTTTCTATTTTTGTTTCAAAGGGCGAAATAATAAGATGAATCGTACTTTGTGACCTCAATTTAAAATAAAAATGTCAATCTCGGACTGGGTTCGTGAATTTAGAGTGTAGATAGATATCTGCGGTAAATGTTAGACGAAATTGAAGTAAAATTAAAGAAATAAAATATGTTATCAAAGTACTTGTATCTGACTTGAAGCAGTTCCTGTAAGGCTGGTTGTCAAATTTCTAATAAAAATGATCCTCGTTCAATAGAGATTAATTTTTAAAACAATAAACAGGAGGGGAATAATTCTACTCTCTATATGAAAGATAAAATCTTAGTGTCACGGACACGTCAAAAGGTGACCTTTCATTATCACATGCAGATTGGGACATTCTCCACTGGTAATTCATTGACCAAACATTTATAAGTATAGATAATAAATAATTATAGCTTTCTTATTGATACAACAGAATAATCATTTATTCCTATCAATATGTATATGCCAGTGATAGTGATAGTGATTTTATATATAAATAAGCATGCAAATTGGTTTCCCATAACAATATTTGAAGCAATCTACAATATCTGAATACCAAACTAGAAACTATACGTGTCTTCTTAAATTACTTAACAATATAACCTATCGATGCAGGCGTAATACCTTCTACTCTAACATACCTATTGCCCTGAATTACATAAAGATGACGACACTTGATACTAAATAAAGTTGCTTCCCGAAACAAAACTTTTCGGTGCATCCCTTATTATTTTACCTGATCACTTACAAATTTCTCGTTGTCTGCAGAAACGCGTCGTTGGAAGTTCTCGTATGTCAGACGACTTGACCTCGGGTTAATATGTTGGCGCGTGTTGGAAGGTAAGATAAATATTTATGGCTTGGGTTACGGAGATCTCGTTAATGTCGCTCATTTAAAAAAAGGTGTGACACTGACAATGACAGATTTACGGATGACCAGTTTTATTCCTTCATAAAGGCACGTACTGAACATATATATACAGAGTGTCCATAAAGTCCTTTACAATTTCAATTTTGTTATGAAGTTAGTTCTCAATATATTTCAACCAGGTTTGTTGTTTTTTTGATCAGTAATTTTGTGAGTATTCTTACTTCATTTAATACATCTGTGAGGGCCGAAACAATATATGGTATCGATAAATTCCCTTTGCGATTTTAAAAAATTTCAGGACTTTATGGACGCTTATATATCATCGGTATGAAAACCAAACGATTGGTCAAGTTGTAAAACGGAGTGAAACAAAAATTAAATAATGGTTCTTTTGTGAAATAATTGCGATGATTGTTCATAAAATGCGTCTGTATCGCTTTTCTAATTCTCATTGAACGTTCAGCAGTATCATTAAATTACATATCTATGATTTAAGGCCATGGAACGTTGTTACAGTCCACCAATCAATGCCGGTTATGATTTTAATTTCGCCAACTGCTTTCGTCAGTTTATGTTTTGGCATTACTGTTTCGCCATGCAGTCCTCGCTACCCATAATAGTAATATTTCTGTTTTGATTTTTTGTTTTTTTATAAAACGATATGCTATTATGTTAGCCACTAGAATGTTCTGTTATCTGTTTCGAAATTACTAAATGCGCAACTCTGAACTTCCTCACGCCCATTGTCGCGTGGAAATGCTAATAACCAAAGTACTTTCATTTGGCAGCTCTTACAATTTATCACCAGTAATTATATATGTTATGCAGAAACTCAAGTTCTAATTTCCACTTTCTCTCGTATTCTAAAACCGATACTTTTATTTTGGCGAACCATGTACCTGACACAGGCAATCCTTCTGTTGTTTTGAAAGAGATATTACAAAGGACTTCATTTTTTACTATGGCTCTCATTTTGACAATTTAACCACAAAATTAAGTAGGTAATTACTACCTAATGAAGTAGAAATTGAGGTTTTCATTTGTTATGAATTCTCTGTACCATGCCCGTGCATCAGCGTGGTGAATATGACGATAAATCTGGTTAGACCTCGAACTCCTCTACGGAGTCTTTTGCGATACCCTGCCAAGTAATAGCAATGCTGACAGGCGAATATTTTAGTACATAGGAATATATTTACCCAGTTCATATAACAAAAGCAGTGCGAATAGACAAGATCACTCATTTCATGACCAAATATTTGGAAGACTAGCCTGCCACAAATGGGAGGGTAGTGTCACACTTGTATTATGACGTCGAATTGAGTTTATTTGTTACGTCACTGTTTCGTTAATTGCTTGGCTATATTCCACCACAAGATCCAAGATACGCATGGAGTCTTTGGCATGGTTTGGTGTGACAATTGCATTTTCAACATATATATTTACTGTATTCAAGGTATTCTGTCAGTAATGCTATGTAATGGTAAAACCAAAGTACGAAGTGCAGCTTTGTACATTCGTAAATTCAAAAACAAAACAAAGCTGCGACATTTGGGTTGCCAAATAACCCGTTTTTTCGATACCGACAAGGTGACGCGTCAAGGAGAACGAGAACGTGCTTGTTAGAAACCTATCAATTAGCGGATTATTCTAATTAAACGGGTTTTAAATTATGTAACGACAACATAACTAGTATGCAACATTTCGAGCCAATACTATTGAACAAAATGGCACCAATTAATTCAAAATGCTTTTGAAATTGAACTACTTTCTCTCAGCAGGACACCGCGCTTAGAAATCTATCACAGACCTGGATGTCAGTTACATCTGCTGCAAATTACTGATTTTATCTACATTTGAATTCTGTCAAGCATGATTATTAGAAAACTGAGGCGTCAAAACAGTTTCAAAATTGTGGAAATGTATTTGCGTCAGGTGCGAAGATCACGGATCGATTAATTGTTTCCGACGTAACGATTTCGCGATGAAATCGACGCAATCTCGAGATAGATTGGCGAAACGCTGACGAACAGCGCACATGATAATGCACAAAATATTTCTTACGCCTGCGCAAAATGCGGTTTGCAATTCCCATATTCCTAACCTTATTTTCTTGTGTTTCATGTGCTTTCCGCAAACTTACGAATTTCACAATTTGGAGGAAATAAATTTCTTTCGCACCTTCTCTCAGCAACAAGCTGTAGACGAGCAGTTACGTAACTGATACGCGCGGGTGGTGGGCGTGGGAGATTGAAAGGTGATTTTAGCAAACGAAAACATAGTTAGGTCCATCGTACATCTATCTCATCAAAATTATCAAAATGCTTTCAAAGTATTATGTAAGCCAAGCCTCAACGCACGAATCGGGCCATTTTACGCTGCTTTATGCATGTCCAATGTGCTTATATTATGTAAATT